GGGAGTTTTTTGCTCGTAATGCTGATATATTGCCTTAGGACCGTATAACTCATATCCGCCGCCTGAACCCTCATTTTCGTTCCCCCCTCCCCAAATCGAAAATCCGTGTCATCTAGCAACATAATCGCCATCTCCACGCTCTGCGGCTTGAAAAAAACCACCAGCGCGTCCCCCTTAAACTTTCCCTCCCCGTCCGTGTACATCTTGATCCTCGGCCTCCCCGAGTCAATCTCCTCGGCAATAACCCCGCACTTTCGCGAAAACAACTCGGCCACTTCTTCGACTGTCGCGTCCGACGGAAGACCAGTGACGTACACGGCCGTGTTTTGCCTTGGTTGCGGGGGCGGGCGTTGCTTCTTTTTGCTTTTTGTTGAGGTGCCATTCTGTGAGGAATCCTGTTGTGGGGGGAAAAGAAAGAAAAGGTAAAGGTATGGTTAGTGTTCTGTCCTTCGGGTTGCATAATGGTGGTGCTTTGATATCATCCAGAAAAGAGGAACGGATATATGGAGGCGAAAAAGTTTCTTTATTGTTCTCAGATTGTCTGGTGTGATATGGTGTCTTCCTTCTCTTCGCGTATAGAAACATCATCACGGAGGTAGGTAGTGAAGGAAGGATAAGAAAAAAAAAAAAAAAGGAAAACAACACACAGCACGTAGCCGATGTTGCAAAAATGGTGGTGTGTTCGCTCTTCGCGGCAAGCTTACCTCTCTATCATCCCCATACCCCATCTTCCTCTTCACACCCTGCGCCGACCCATCATCATCATCATCCACCCCGGGCACCATGTATCCCCTCTGCTGCTGCTCAATAAGCGCCTCGTCGATGATAGGGATCCAGCGCCTCAGGCCCTCGTCAAACTCGTATTCGGTGCCGTCGTCCTGAACGGCAATGTACTTGTTGTCCAGCTTCGAAAACGAGATGCGCTCGTCCTGATCAAACAGCTCCTTGTCGGTTGGAAACGTCCAGTATTCGGCTTCGGCGGCCATATTGACGGATGTGGTGGTGGTCAGAAATGGTTTTGGTGTTTGTGTAAAAGGCGAAAAGAGAATCGAGGACGTGGAATGTTTTTTTTTGGAAAACAGTCGAAACCAGCATTGAGATGACGTTGCGCCGCTTGCGACAAGAAACCTGGGGTACAGCGGCCTTGGCGCGACGGCCCCACATTGAGGTTGGAGGCCCAGAAGAAAGAGATCGGGGCTGGCACTGTTTATTTACGCATTCTACTACCCCTTGGTTCCGTGCAAAGGACAGTCTTGTTATCATTACACATCCCTATTCTATTCATGTCCGTGTTTCTCGACGAGAGGACTATAAACGTTCCCCTTATTAAAGAGCCTCAAATCCAGAAATCAAGACGTAGCTTCACTTCTTCTGCACCGTCTTCTTCACCCCCTCAACGAAAGCCTCAACAGCATCACCACCACCCAGTGGCACAGACCCGCCCCTCACCAGACCACCGTTCTCAACCGCAATACCCAAAGAACCCGCGACAGTAGGCAGGCCGCCATCCCGGAGCGCTGATGTCAGGCTTGCTAGACTTTGCGTAAACTGAGGACTGCGCAGCACCTTCTTGAGGAGAGCGCGCTTCTGCCCGGAGCTCATGGCCTGCTTGGCAGCCTCTACTGCCTCCGCACTGGGCTCCTTGTCAATGTCATCCCCGTTCTCACCCTGCTGCGAGAGAACCAGTACCATGGGTGGGAGGTAGCTCAGCAAGTTGTCGACGTATTCATCTGACGCCGAGTCGAGCATGGGGATTGTAGTCGATGGTTCGAGAAGATCATTGAGCAGGGGATAAAGCTTGCCCTGAGCTGACTGACCACCGCCCCCGCCGAGCTTCTGGTTGGCCTGGATCGAGGCCAGGAAGTTCCGCACCGCATCGGCAGCGTCGTTGTTTGCATTGTTGCTTGCCCTGTGAAAAGACAACACATCAGCACTTGCTCCAACGTTGGTGCTCAGATATAACCGGGAAAGTAAACGCCAGAATTCGCATTCTTTGAGGGCCCTTTGCTGGCCAAGTCTAGGAAAGTACATGCTATCTGCAAGCTTGTCTATCCTCTTGCGCCAGAAAACCATGATTAAGCCATGCGGATAGAGTATCAACACCTACGCTCTCGCACCATCAGCACCTCCGTCTCTCGAGTCCTCGCCCTCTTGCCGGAAGTCTCCCCCAGTAGCTCCAGGACCGGCACCTCCGCTGCCGCCGCGGTGGTGGGCATGGGCGTCGCCGTGCCCCTCAACGTCCTCCATCGTCTCGTCCTCGTCATCACGTCGGCTGTCGTCGGTGTTGTTGCGGACCGAGGCCAGCTCACGGGTCACGTCCACCTCCTCTCCCTGCAAGAGCTGGTCGACGATCTCTCCGATCTTGAGATCCCTGGGGCTGAACCAGGTGGGATCGCCGCTCTGCCCCTGTGGCTTTGACTGGAGCCAGAAGATGTGTCTCTGAGAGGATGAAGTGAACTTGAGGACGAAGATGCGACCGTTGGTCTTGGCTGAGGGCTCGATGGGGTTGCGGGTGTTGTAAGGGGTGAAGTGACCATCGGTTGGGACCATGACGAGATCAATCTCGGGCTCGTCGAGGGGGACATTTCTGGGTCGCCAGCAAAAGTGGATGAGGTCTAGGTGTGGCTTGTGTTAGCTGGTGTTTGTCGCTGGAGAGCTGGGTGATTGGCATAGCATACCATCTTCCGAGTACAGATAGATATAGCCAGGTCTGGAGTCGGGCTCAACCTTGTAGGGCTTCGAGTTGTGCTGTTGCGTCGTCAGTAAAGTGGGGGATAGCTCGAGACAAGAAGGACCAGACGAACGTCGACCTGGCAGAGGCCCGCCTTGAAGGTGATGATGGGTGTTATCGACATTGCGGGAGGTGCAGCCTGTGGACGAGTGCGAGAATATGTTGGAGTGACGGTGGCGTGATCGAAAAGATGACCGAGTCGGTGCTGAGGCTTGTCGGCGATCTGTTTCTTGTACAGCTGTTGATTGTGATCTGGAGTTTGTTCAAGTTGCGTTGTAGCTCTGGCTCTGGCGCACTGCTCAGGCTGCCTGCCGTGACGCAGCTCAGCCAGGTCCACAGTGTGCACAGACAGTGTGAATGACGGTGTTTTTTAGTGCCGTTAGGTACGGCAACTCTCCACGCCAGCAAAGCCCCTGACTGTTACTGCAAACAGTCCCTGGGTTTTATATTTTTTATAACGGCCAGACCCTGAGATGGAGGCTGACCTTCGGGGCTGAAGCATGGCCACGCTTTGTCTGACTCGCTATTATAAGACACTTGGTTTTATCTTCACTGAATATCCATACTGCATAGGTCACTGCTCGATCAAGGGCCCCTCTTTCAAGCACTGGTGGTCGCACACGTACCTACCTGGCAGTAGTGTGCCAAGTCCGCCCCTTGCCATTAATTAAGAGAAACCCAGGCACTTGTCCTTCTCGAAGTTGGCCTTTGCCAGATCCCCATCCGTCCACCTCCCGTCGGCTTGGATTATTTTTTCCAATTGACGAGGAATCGCCAGTTCTTTGGCGAACAAGCGAACAAGCGAACAAGCGGCCACCACCCAAGACACGACCTGGAATTCCGATCCTGCGGCCTGTGGTTTCAACATCGTCCATCGAGATTCATTTCGCCAAGCCAACACCTTTGGGTGCGCGCCGCCCGTTGGGAATTTCTTCGATGCAAGTTCGAGTCGACAGACGGTGACGAACAACGACCAACTCTATGCGCCGAGTTTCCCCATACCACATCTAAGCCCATGGCGCGTCCACTGGGGCCGGTTCGCCTCAAGAAGGCGAGCCCAGTCACTCTCGCTATCGGCGCCGTTTTCACCATTCTTGTCTTATACTTTTTAATAGGCTCCTCGGCCCCTGATTTCTCTGCTTCCAGAAAAGCCAGCGCAGCGTCTCACCCGCTATCACCACCCACCTCTCCATTCCGCAAGTCGACCGGAGGAGGGAAACCAAAGGCGCCGCCCGTCGCCCACTACAACCTCAACAATGTCACCATCACCAGCGACCCCCTGGGCAACCGGGAGAACATCCTCCTCCTCACCCCCATGGCCCGCTTCTACCAGCAGTATTGGGACAACCTCTTGAAGCTGTCCTACCCCCACGAGCTAATCACCCTGGGCTTCATCCTCCCCAAGACAAAGGAGGGCAACGCCGCCACAACCGAACTCCAAAAGCAAATCGCCAAAACACAAAAGTCGGGCCCGGAAAAAGACCGGTTCAAAAGCATCATCATCCTCCGACAAGACTTTGACCCCCCTCTCCAATCCCAAGACGAAGCCGAACGGCACAAGATTCAAAACCAAAAGATCCGCCGCGCCGCCATGGCCAAAGCCCGCAACTCGCTGCTCTTCACCACCCTCGGCCCGGCCACCTCGTGGGTCCTCTGGCTCGACGCCGACGTCATCGAGACGCCCTCCGATCTGATCCAGGACCTCGCCGCCCACAACAAGCCCGTCATCGCGCCCAACTGCTTCCAGCGGTTCTACAACACGGAGAAGAAGGCGATGGACGAGAGGCCGTACGACTTCAACAACTGGCAGGACAGCCCGACGGCGGTGGAGCTGGCCAAGAAGATGGGGCCGGACGACATTTTGCTGGAGGGTTACGCCGACATGGCCACGTACCGGGCGCTGATGGCGTACATGCACAAGACGGACGGGCTGAGGCAGGAGACGGTGCCGCTGGACGGGGTGGGGGGCGCGGCGTTGTTGGTCAAGGCGGACGTGCACCGGGACGGGGCCATGTTTCCGCCCTTTTCGTTTTACCACCTGATCGAGACGGAGGGGTTTGCGAAGATGGCGAAGAGGCTGGGGTGGCAGCCTTTTGGGTTGCCTAATTATAAGGTATTTTTTTTTTTTTGCCTTTTTCTTTTGGGAGGGAGAATGTTGTTGCTAACGGGAAGATAGGTCTACCATTACAATGAGTGAAACGTTGCAAGATACAGCAAGCAAGAAAGGCAGTAGCACTGCAGCTGCGGATGGGACTGGGTTTAAAAGTCCCGGGAAAAGTACTTTGGGGAAAGGGGAATGAGGTGTGTAGCTGTGAGGGGCTATAATGGGTAGTTGAGCATGTGTGTGTGTGTGTGTGTGTGTAGAGGAAGAGAGAGACGAGATATTTGAAGCAGAAACCATTCATACGAATTTTTTTTTTTCTGGTTTAGTCATTTATCAAATGTAAATGCGGGAGGTTAGGGAGTGGGGAGGGGGAGGCCGGTCTACAAAAACATAGAGAGGACATTGAAGCCGGGATGGGAACCTGGGTTTGGTGTTCAAGCTTTCAATTGCGAAACGAATTCATGGAGACTTGGGGCGAGCAAGGGGTGAGGGGTTGTCTTTTTTGAGTCGTTAGAAAGTTGTACAGATACCACATGATATGATTCAAGTTTATGATTGGGGTATTATGGGGCTACGAGAAAACGGGATGAGAGATGATGTGAAGGCCCCCCCCCCCCCCATGTATTATCTTCCAGAGTTTGAGAGTTCCAGAGTTGACGATCAACATCTCTTTCAAAGCCAACTCATATCCTACTCCTGAAACGTGCGCTATTACGATTCGATATCGTTAATCCAGACCGCCTCCTGTCCTATCCCATCCCCAGGTTAGTTAACTCCCCTCATACCTCCCCCCAGGCTGATCCCCAATCCAAAGCTCCACCAACCCCCTCGCGCCAATCTCATCCCCCTCCCTGAGCAGCGCAGCAACGTCGACGTTGAGAGGTGAGTCAATCCCCGGATGATCAAGCAGCATCCTCACTGCCTTTACACACTCCAACACACTATACGCCGGGCTCCAGGCATCTTTTAGTAAATCAAGACATATCTCCCCGGTCTCTAATTTCACGTTTGCATGGACAATCGAGGTTTCAAACTTGATTTCCGGCGGGGAGAGGGGGTACGTAGGGGGGATGGTGATTTTTAGTAACCACCTGCCATCTATTATCGCACAATGTCAGCGTTTGATCGGGATATGGCTGTAAAGGGGGGGGGGGGGGGGGAGGGATAAAGAGGGAAGAAAGACAAACCAGCATATCCACCCCCTAACCCTCTCCCGTTCAGTACCGCCTCCCAATGCAACAAGTCGGTTTGGTCGGGCGGGCCGAGGCGTTCGATCCCGAGTTCTATCTCTTCGTTTGGGGCGTCTGACAGTTGGGATTGGATGGAGGCGTATTCTTTTGCCAGGCGGCGGATTGCCGCCCGAGCTCCTGCGGCTGAAGAGGACGATGGTTTTGATCGGGAGGACATTTTCTTCTGAATCTATGTGGGAGGAGGGGATATCGTCACGTAGGTCGGCTGGAGGTTGGAAGGGGGTGGAAGTCTATCGAGGTGCCGTATGCGACGAGGTATGCGGTATGCGGTATGCGACGAGCTAATGCGATGCGATGCGCTGGTGACAGAACCCTAACAGTCGGTGTTCGAATACCCTAATTCTGAAAACAAAAGCTCGCGAATGGATTATGAGGGAATCTTGGTTCTACTTGTCGTCGTTGTCGTCTTCAAAAAATAAATGTTGATGATTGCTAATCTCCAACCAAACCTGTCACGGTTCAGCTCACACACGGGCAGCAGCTCAGCTGAACACGGCACGGCACGGGCACCCACTCACCCCCACACCACCTCCGTGCATCGAACCCGCTGAAACTGCCGAACCAAACGGCCCCAAATTACCGAGGCACCGTACCGTACCTCGCCCTGGAACCCGGAGCACAGTGCATGGTTTTCAGCATCCCAAACCCCCGAGTGCCAGCGGGCTGATCATACATACACATCCCAAAAAGGAGTCCCCTCCACACCTCTACAAAACTCAAAACCATTGCGTCGACTTCGTCATGTATTAGATGCGTGAACCGCCCTAACTACCTCGCTATGGTCGAACACATTGTGCGCATTTGATATGTCCAGAGAATCAAAAACCATCGTCCTCCCCCAAATTTGTGAATCATATGTCCATCACCCATCATGTCCTCCCCTCCTACCTAGCCTCCTCCAGCAGGAAAAAAAAATCATAAAGAAACACAAGCAACCTTTGGCAATTGAGATCATGTTCATCTACAACTTCCATGCAACCTGGTTCTCATGCGACCAAACACAAAAAAAGAACAGAAAATAAGATAAACAACGCCATGCTCCCCGAATTAGAAACCTCACCCTCAAAGTCATAATCCTACATAAATTCCCAGTACTCAAAAGCCACGCGAAGTAACGAACGAGTACCAATTGTTGTCTTGTGATTCATTCCCGAGATAAAAGTCTTGATCATGGCGACCTCGTAATCAAGCCATCTATCAGAGTTGTGTGTGATGCGTATGCCGAGACGCCGATGCAGCTTACGCCGCCTCGTTATCCTTGGGCTTCCAGAACTTCACCATCCTACTCAATCTCTTGGCTTTGCTGACTTTGGACTTCTGCTCTGGCTCGCTGTCCAGAGGAACCTCCATTGACAGCTTGCTCCGCTCGCCATGAGAGCTGCTAATCAAACGGCTCAAGCTGGCCAGACTGGAACGCCTTCGCCCAAAGGCAGTCGAAGTGAACGAAGCCGGCCGTGGCAAGTCGTGCAACGGCGGGTTTCTTGCCTGGGGGTGCTGGGGGAACAGGCTTTCGCGCGTCATGGTCGAGTTGCTGCTGGTGAGCGAAGGGATATCATCGACCGAGATGCGCACTTCCGGACCAGGCTCGCCCAAGAGTAACGACTGGAAATTATCCTCCGTGATGGATGACGGCGCTGTCGAGATCCGATGGGCGTCGTACGACATGGGTGTGCGTGGAGATGGGAATGCCGATGACTGCGTCATGGAAAAGGGGCTGATGGGAGGCATCGAGGATGGCGGAAGGCTCAGTGGCCCAACATCGACAGGCGCCAAATCCTTGGGACGGGAAACGTGACGTGGGGATGGTGTGGTGGATCCGGAGTAACCGCCGTGAATCGAAGAAGAGTTCCTCGGGGTGCCCGGTGCAACGGCAGGGACGGCGTCCGGAGTGTCGCTATTCGCCGAGCCCATCGTATAGTCTGGCACCACAGTAAGGAACGCCTTCCCTTGCTCGCCATCCTGAGAGGTCCTAGCAGCGGGAGACTCCTGAGGGACGATTGGAGAAGGTCTCGCTTCAGGGGCAAGGCTTGTGCTCTCCGACTTTTCCACAACAGGGGTTTCAACCAGCGGTGTAGATTGTCCAGCGGAGCTCTTGCCGGAATCGCTGTCCTCCTCTTCTTCTTCTTCATCCTCCTCAAACACATCTGCCATGGTGGAGCTGCTTCCAAAGCGTCTGAACCCAAGCCTACCGCCTTCAAAAGGCACCATTTCTGGTGCGCTTTCCGCACGGCGATGGTGGTAGTGCATGCCCGGGCCAGTGAAGCGGCTCATTCCGGCTGCGCTGTGAAGCTGCTTCTTCACGTTGCCACCGGCTCGTTGCGCCGCCTCCCACTCAGGGTTTCGAGGCAGGGGCGTATTGAAAGGACCAAGAGCCGCATCAAGGTCAATCATCTGGTACGACATATCCTCATCAGGGACAGAGACAGGCTTGGGGAATGTCCAAGACTGGAAATCTCCTGTATCCGGGGATTCGGTGACGGTGAAGGTCGGAACGTTGATTTGCGCATCGGTCGAGTCTTGCTGGAGAGCATCGACTTCCTCCAGGAACCGAGGTGGAGGCGGGGTTGGCGTTCTCCTCTTTTGCTTTCCGTAGCGATGTTTGGACTTGCGAGAAAGAATCGTTCCAGCCCATGTTTTGACCTTCTTTTGCTTCTTGCTCCTCTTCTTGGTGAGTGGCTTCATGGTGTTCAAAACCACGTCCGGTTCAAGAGCCATGTCGTCCATAAACTGTTCCGCAGAAACGCGCTCAGGAGCTGGCGAGTTAACGTGAGAACTGGAGGCGAGGGGGCTCTCTGATTGAAAGCGTGTGGGTGATCCTGTTGCCTGTGAATCACGACCCTCGCGACCAAAGAAGGCCCATTTCTTGCCAGACCGAGTTGGGCTGGGTGTTGCCGGACTGTGGGGAAGAACAGGAGGGATGGCACCCAAAAACGGGATTGATCCTCGTCTCCTTGGCGAAGATGGAGTAGGCTCCTCTTCCTGAGCACTCAAGGTGTTCTCCAACACCGCCCCAGCTGTACTGGGCCGGCTATCGCTCATTTTGGCAGCTGGGCCGCCGAATGCGAAAGGTGTGCTGAAATCACGCTCACCGGTAGTGAGCGAGATGAGCGAAGAGATGCTGCCCGAGACAGAGTGTCCAGGGCGGGCGGTAGCCGTGCTGGAGGCGTCACTGGAGACCAGAGAAAGCGGTCTGGGGATATACTCCAACGTGTCTGAAAATCCCACACGGTTTCTGGCCGGTGGCTTGGCGTCACCTTCCACGTCGGCCATCGGGACACCAGTGGAGTTATTGGGCGCCTCCGATGGTGATCCAATGTTTGGCTCCGATTTTCTGCCCTGCTCGGCAGTCGGGAAGTCCTGTCCACCGGGGCGATTCGGAAAAACAGGGCTGGCAGGAGCGCTGCCTCCCCTCAAGTTGGGGTTCGGTGGTGGAGGCAGAATGATGGAGGAAAGATCGTGGCTGGATATGGCGGCAGATCGACGATGAGCGTGACCTCTCCGTGGTCTTGTGGGTTGCAACATCGGTGAGGCCATCCCGCTTTCTGGTTTTGTCGGGCTGACATTGGTGATCGTGATGGCCTCCCCGTCACGAAGCTTTCCTCCAACAAATTCGCTTCCGCCACGACGATGTCCGTGGCCACCAGGTCGGGTAGCAGCTGTTCTTGGAGAGCTGGGAGCAGAAGGTGACTGCGCAGGGCTGAGGTAGGTGCTTTCAGGACTGAGGGTGGACGTCAAAGAGGCGCCAGGGTTGAAGGAGAAATTGGGAAGCGCTGGCGTTCGAGGCTTGGAATTGTCAATCTCTTTAGTCAAATCCAACCCGGCGATATGAGGCTCTATCGCAGATCGCGGCCGTCTCCCAGTAGCGCGCGAGAAGGTGGATGGGGACGAAGCCGAAGAGGATGAAGGTCGTGCTGGAAACACGAATGGCGGGTTCGGAGGAGGCGGAATCGTTCTCGGCGATGTCTGTGGGCTGGAAGAGTAATCATCGTGGGGACCCATAGCGTCGGGGTTTGTGGAATCCGCAAGCCGAAGCATCGTGAGGTTGTTGAGGCCGTCGGCCATGGGAGCATCGACCATCATGTCGGAACCGAATGTGGTTGCCATCTTTTCAAAGCCGCTCTGCGGCACCAGAAACGAATGGCAGGGTCAGTCCCAAGCAACTGACATGTGGACGTCGTCGAGAGTAAAAGCGATCGCTCGGCAAGATCGATGAGTACCGAGCTGTGCGATCTAGCACCCAACCGGGCTGGTTGGGTTGGACGTCTGGTCGTGAAAATTAAATGATTAAAGACAGTTTGCAACCTGAGATCTAAATGGGGTCAGCAATGACCGGAACCACCGGACACAAAGAGCGTGTTAGAACAATCAATCGTGACAAGAAGCCATCGAGGCAATTGAAGCGATTGCGAAGCGCAGGAGTAAACAAAAGCAATTGAGTTCCTCTCGAAGAGGAGGCAGACTCACCATCAATCGGGATCTCGGAATGGCTGCAAAGGGCACTGGAAAGAGCAGCGAACAAACAATGAAGCAGCAAAACGCTGTTTTCCCCAGAGGAATCCAAGGCGATGAGGTGTTTTTAAAGGAGTGGACGGTCAACCCAGCGCAAATCTCGAGATCTGCCACCGGAATTGAACCAAGTTGTTTGGGGGGAGGGGGGGGTCGACAGAGCGACGGGGGCGGTGGTGAGGAAGAAGGACGCGGGAAAAGAGGATGGAGATTGGGAGTGGTAAAAGAGAGGGCGAGGTGAACCGAGCACACAACACAACCAGAGAGAAAACTGCGGGTGGGGGCCTAGCGTTGTTGCGTGTGCCCGGGAGTGCGTGAGAGTGCAAACAGTGTCAACCCCTGGAGCTCATACCGTGGTGAGCCTGGGCGCGCGCGGGAGCGGAGCAAAGGACAGGTTTGGGGCAGGGTGGGTCCAGGATGGATATGAACCGAACACAGGCTCGCTGTGCTGTTCATCTGATTTACCCCAAAACTGATTGCTGTTTTGCTTCGAGTACCTGGAGATAAAAAGACAATAACTAAATACTGCGTATGATGAGAGCAAGGTCGGAGCAGCCACTGTCCCCGGCATTGATACCTACCGTCCGTATCTTATCCTATCCTCCGTACCTACACAGTAATGCCGAGCAACCACCAGTTCAACCACCAATCATCCCACGGCAACTGAGTCCTCCACGCCTTCAACTCCCTTCTTGGAGGCCGATGCTACACACAGTCGCAGCGGAGAGGGGATCGCGTACAGCAACAGACAAGTCACTTGCATATGTGCCTCTTCAGGAACAGGTATCCAAACTACGGATTGCTACCCCAGATCCTGTTTCAACCACCTGCGATTGCCAGGCTCCTCCTATGGACAGATGACTGCTCGGATGAATCTTGAAGATCCCGCCACTGAAATCTGGCGCTCAGATGCCGCTCTCCCTCTTCTTGATGCCATCGCCATTGTTCCGTGCCCGAGTCAATTTCGTATTGCCTGTATCGCAGCGCCCCGGATTATTAGATGGAGAGCTACGCGACCGTCTGCGCCTCATCACTGTCGCGTTCAATACCCCGCTATTGTTCATGATTACAAGAGGCCAAGTCCCTGTGACCCGCAAAAATACAGCCGGGATGCCGGCTCACAGGCCAGGTGATGGAGCGTTCCTGAATGCCCCTGGCCAAGTGACAGTAAGCCGGATTTCGCACACACTGTGTATCTTCCTGCATAAACGCCGCCGTCTGGTGTGTGTGCATACCGGGGAGCGGTGAAGGGCAAGGAACATCGAGCCTTCTCTACCTCTGATGCTGTCAAGTGGCAGAGTACAGAGAAGAAGGGCAAACCAAGCCCTGATCACTAACTATCACGAAGCAGGTTGAGGTGTTGGAACATTTTATCTGGCCTGGCTATATCAGCCTTGTGCTCAGACTTGATTCCACTCACGATCTGAGGTTTGATTCATCTCTCTCAATGATTGAATGCTGGCTCGCTTCGACAGTCATACAGATCGGCCTTTGAACCAGACATAGGCCCTGGGTGGCGCCCGCGACTACTGCATGCAATCGGTATCCTATCTCGTCGGTCCCTGAGCTTGGTTCCTCCTGGTTGCTCAAAGGTTGCTGTTTTGATGCGCTGTTCGACTCTGGATAGAACTCCCTAGGCCTGCAGAAGGCCGACGCTAGACCCTGTCGCTAGATCGATCTCGTCGTCCACTGTGAGCTCGAAACGCCCGACTAGCCAGGTGGGCACGGATCTTTCTGCATGCGCCACTCACATTCAGCCGGACGCCGTAAGGCCCAGATGGCGACACCGAGTTGCTGCATGCGTGCACCACCATCTCGCTCGCAGGAGTGTCAGGACAACATCACCTGTCATCCGGACAGTTGGCGGGGATGACATGTCAGGCGGGGCTTATGGTTTGACAGCCCGAAGCCTCATCCATTGTTGCTGACAAGTGACAACCACACAAGGCTGGGCCGGCTGTGGTCTCTCATCTCGGAAAGTCACTGGCGTACCATTCCACGAACACCCAAAGTCTGTTCGTCTCGAACTCAAAGGATGCTCCTGTTCGTCAGACAGGCACACTTTCGTTGGTTGTCGTTTGTTTATTTGCAAGGGGCATCGAGGAAATGCCTCAAAGCTTTGTACACCCAAGCCGAACCAGTCCGGGCGAGAGCGGCCAGGTCTGAATAACTGAAGAGGCTCAAACTAGAAGTTTGAACATTGTTCTGGTCTTGCGCCAGAACTGCGCAGTCGTTGGCTGTCATGGAATGCCAAGTTGATGAAAGTAATGTCGGGTGTTTCTGAGTATTCCTAGTCATATAAAAGGGCTCTGCTAAGAGGAATCTCGACGGGCCGTGTTGACACATGGCTCTCATTTCCCTGGGGAATTGCTGTGAACAATATTTCGTACAATAATACTAAACAACCCACGGAATCCTCGAATCAAGCTGCGTGTTTCAATATTGAGAAAAGCAAGACCATGAACCCTCCACAAGGCCAACACCACTCGATGCCCGCTCCGTGACTGGTGCCGTCGCATTCACCCCGCGCCTCCGCGCCGTGGTGGAGAATGACTTCGATCGATCCCTGCAAAAAAGCAACGGAGCTGCGGAACATGGAAAGGACTTTGGGATTGGCGATGGAATTGTTTGCTGAACGAAATTGCGGTCGTTTGGAAAAGCGTAATTACGGATTACGTACATCGCGCGAGATGAAAGCAGGGGTACCGCGGACGAGCACAGCCACATGTGGCTTTCAACATGCTTCGCCAAGAGATCTGGGACCAGGGGGCCCCACAAGGGAAACGGCTGCCCCGCAAAAGATTGGAAATTCTGCCGCCCAAATTTTTAGAATCTCGAGATGTGTTGACCGCCTTCAAGAGCTGACCTGTAGGTGAGGAGCTGCGTCCTTCTTCAGTGCTTCATCCTCCCCGCATCAGTCTCTATCAACAATGTCTGCGACAACAACAGAAACCACGACGGCGTCGGCGCCAGCGACCACCGCAAGTAAGCCCTTGGGCATGCGCGTAAATGGTTTGTCGATTTCCCATCTCTCAGCCTCTTCTCGACGGCCAATCTAAATCACAATGCTGACAACAAGCACAGGCAAGCAATGGCATGCCCCAAAGAAGGCATTCCGCCCAACCAAGGGTTTGACCTCGTATGAGGCGCGCGTCAAGTTGAGAGCGGACCAGGCAGCGATGAAGGCAAAGGAGAAGGAGATGAAGGAAGAAAAGGAGGCTGAGCGCAAGGTGGGCATCGCTCTACACAAACTCGGGATATGTCGGCAGTCCAAGCTAACTCAACATCTGCAGGCACGAATGGAGGCCCTCAAGGCGAAGCGCGCGGCGAAGGAGGAGAAGGAACGATACGAAAAGATTGCCGAGAAGATGCACAAGAAGCGGGTGGAGAGGCTGAAGCGCAAGGAGAAGCGCAACAAGTTGATCAATTCGTGATCGCGTTGATGAGCAAGATACCCTTTTGATTTATTCGATACCCCTACGCTACAATGTCGTCGATAACCTGGAAACGACATCGACACAACTGCTAAGGGGGGCTCTCGGACGTCCCTCACCAGCAACAAACGACGACACGGAACTGAAAAGGGCTGGATGAGGGGGTGGTCGGTCGTGAGGTCTACACTATCATCACATAGTGTGGGTAGGGATTTGCTTGGACGAAAATCTGGCAACCGTCCTCCAAACCCAAGACTGTCGTTGGACCTGCCCTCGGGTTGTGTTGTGCAGGCTGAGTTGCTCTAGGACATGGAAAGTCCCAGGGTTACTCGTCTTTGGATCCATGTATACGGCTCAACATAGACAGTGAGATGTTATGAGAATCTATTAAACCCAAAAAAGTCCACTGCCACCTAATGCATACCAATCTGCCTTATATGAATGTGCTAGACTGCGAGGCGCCATCACATGCCGGTACGACACACAGCTGATCCCTTCCGTCAACCAACCAGGTTGTGCCCCACCCCGCCCAGACACCAAATGCAGCCACCACGGTGCTTTTGACTCCCGCCTAACTTCACAAGCTTGCATCGAAACCAGGGACTATCGTTGTGCGACGGCGGCCACCCAGCCCAATTAAACAGAGGACGATGTCTCAATATGCCGTGGAGACGTCTAAAGTCCCCTCCCCGGGGCGCCCGCGCCACCAAATCACTCGCTCCATCTCCGAGATATCGTCGCCAATCCGTCTCCATCGTCACCACTCGCATCGCGTCATCCGAGAAAGGGAGCGCGACGCTCTCAGCCCCATAACACAGTCCGCGACGTCACTCCAACGGCCGTCACCGCAACCGTACGAGGTCTCTTCCAAATCTGCAGGAGGCACCCCGAACATTAGCCCAAACCCAAGTCGACGACCCAGTCTTCTCTACGCCTCAGCCGACGACGAAGGGATGCCCGCCAGTCATGGACCAACGCTTGTGTCGACGTCTGCGCCTGCCTCGATAACGAAGTCCTCGGCCGAGGTTGACTTGGTGAAGGAGCAGCAAAAGGCAGCTGTAAGAAACAGGTTGGTTTTCCTTTTCGCCTTTTGCCATCCGCTTTCTCACACATACGACTAACCGCTGCTCAACACTCTCCCAGTGGACTCCAACGATCACTTAACGAACTAGAAACCTTTGCGAGTACGACTACTAGGCGCCTCGACGAGACGTACTATTCGGTGGAGGAGAAGCTGGGGACGCTTCAAAGCACGATTGCGGCCCTCAAGGGGCTCGCGGAGCTCTCCAACCAGCTCAACAACAGCTTCAGCGCCGAGGCCGAAGAACTCGTGGCGGATGTCACCTCGCAGCTGGATGCGCTCGGTAACTTTGAGGACCAGCAGCAGCGTATCGAGTCGTTACAGAATCGCATCAGCACAGGCCGGGAGAGCATCAAGTCGTTGAGCGAGCGCGTTGATGTAGTCCGAGCACGTATCGAGGGCTGGGAGCGCGCAGACAGGGAGTGGCGGGAGGCTGTTAGGAAACGGCTCACGGCTCTGTGGGTGGTTGTTGTCACGGTTGGCCTGGTGTTGATTTTGCTCATGATCAGTGCCCAATATGTCCGGGAGAAGCCTGGGGATGGGGAGGTGAAGCAGCTGGCGGCCACGGCGGCGAACCAGTGGGATTCGGAGGATGTTTCTACAGCTGCTCAAAAGGATAAGATTGGTTTGAATTGGACGGAAACGTCTGAGCTCTCATCTCGCGCAACCGAGATGCTGCGAGCTTTTGATGAGCTGTAGGGACGGGAAAGGGGGGTTGAAAAAGGAGTACAGCATGCATGTCTTTGATTTGGTCATTTGAGCTTCTATTTTTGCATTGATACCCAAGCTTACCTGGTAACAGAAGCAGTCCTGCCTTATTACATACAGTTTCCCGTTCAAGGTACATATCAAGAGGTTCTTGAAGCCTAGTTTCTACCCAGCTATGTCGACCTGCCTTGAAGCAACCATATCGGATATCGGCAGTTGGGACAAGCGAGCTCCAACCTTACCAGGATATGACTCCCCACCATAGTGAGGCCTCTCACTTATATAGCTCCACAGTTGGATCGGATTTCGGAACAGGCAGTTTCGACTTGAACTTCTGTTTGAAATCTGCAGTGGATCATGGAATGAGTAAGCCAAGATTGGAAGTTGAAGAAACGCGCGGCCAAGGTTGCTTGGAAAGTAGAAAAGCGGCGCAGAGTTGCCGGCCGCACAGCATTTTTCTGTTGGGCGCTTGTAGTCTGGGCCCTGAATGTTGCAAAGCCCAGCGGGGACGTCATCACGGGTCGACTTGGCGGCACCCGCGCCACCAGACCACATGCGTCATCGGTCGCACTGGCGGGGTGTTTAGAGTGCCAAGCCTCACCTGGGAGGGAGAGCTTCTTGTGCGACAGAATGCGAGAAATGTACTTTTCGGGCCTTGGATGCCGGCTTGTGTTGTGATTCGGTTGGTGATTCCAAGAGATTTGTGTCCTTGCTGCTTTGCCAAGTGTTGCTGAGCCTTGTTGCTGCTGCTGCTGCTGCTGCTGCCGCGTGCTTTCCAAGGTTGATGTGGTGGTTGGTCAGTGGTCATCTTGAAATATTTCCATCACCGGACCCCTGGGGGGAAGTAGGCGCTTGGTGAATGCTGGTTGCATGTGTCAGTCTCCATTAAAAAAGTATCCGTTTGCTCCGTACCTACATATTTTACTATACATTGGACCCCTTCTTCTTCCATTCATTCCTACGCCATTGAACGAGCGAGCCGGCCGAGTATCCGAGAGACGAACGGGCTTTTTGTGTTTGCTGCTTATCATACTTTTTATTTTGAAAAGACATATAGGTTCCCCTTGCTACTACCTATTGCTGTTCCGTCAGCTGAGGCCTGTTCATTCGGAAACTGTTGGCCTGCTCCTTCTTCCACAAGCCAACCAGCCAGCCAGCTAGCCAGCCACCTACGCTCGTCGACCGAACAAAAACCGAAAGCGAACGTTTGTTGTGCGCGCCGCATACGTACCGCCGTTTCTTTCACACACGGCCGTGCTGAACGCCATTTTTGGGACCTGTCATTTCTGTTGGGCAAAGACTGTGTTGTGTACCAAGAGAATTCCAAGAGCTAAGTGGAATCTTGAGTGTGTACGACACTTACCCCGCCATAATTCATCACACAACACACAGAGAGACGACCCCCTGTTCAGCACAACGCGGGCGGTTCCAGGTCCTCATAGAAAGAAAGAAAGGCTTACCTTCTTTTCTTGCACTCCATTGCTGGGCATCTTGTTCTTCTTGATCGAACCTTTTCGAACGCGCGCGAAACAATAGACGGGAATATTTGGAGGTGCTAGCTAAAGGGAGGTTTCTGTGGTTGCTGTTGCAATGGCTTCTTCCACGGAGGATGCAACAAACAAGGGGACGACGAATGGGCATGCGGTTCGCCCTGGGGGGGAGGAGAAGAAGAAGGAGACTACACTTGCTGTGAGGACTTCGGGGACTGCTGTTGCGTCGTCTGGGCCACCGTCGCCTGCGCATACTTTGACGGGGAAGCAGGAGCATTGTGAGTTTTTGTTGTTGTGATGTTCTTCACCTCGAAAGCATGAACTAACATTGGGATTCTTTTCTTCTCTGTGCAGACCTCAAACGCGAACTTATTTCCCAGCAAGTACAATGGGAAGTCTCGGAGCTCAACTCGCCGACGGCGCTGAGGCGATTCGGGGCGCCGTTCAAGTCGCCGTTTGGGGAGGTGTCGCCGCTGGATTCGGAGCTGCCGATTCTGAGATATATCTTTGTGCACCACATTCGGGAGTTTCCGTTTTTGGACAAGGCGAGGGAGAAGGAGTTTTGGCAGGATAAGTTACAAGTGGTGAGCGACGGCCTTTCTGGGGATGCTGGTGATTGTCTTGTAGAGGGGAAGCTGACTTGTGACGGGTAATAGTTTCTCGAATCGTTCGCCAGCAAGGGGATTTCCTCCTCGGAAGACAGATTAGAAGAGACCAAGAGGAGGAAGCTTGCTGTGAAGGCGAAGAAGATGGTGGAGTTGATGATGGTGTCTGGCGTGCCGACTTCTTCCGGGTTTGAGGAGAGGATTCGGTTCTCGGAGTTGGAGATTGTCGATGCTAATGCGATTGAGACGGGTGTTCTGTCGTCGATGCCCGAGGGTAACTACCTGAACGGGTGGGATGTCAATATTGCTGGGGTCAGGATAACGACGGCCCGGAGGAATATCAGACAACACAAGCATGCCGTGGGTTTCCTCTGGTTGGCGTGGGTTCACTTTCGGGTGGTTCATCGAGTGCTAATGAGGGTGAAAAACAGGAATTCCTGCTTCGAGTCAAGCGCAAGGGCGGGATGGAGCAGTACATTGGCCGGAGATACGGGGACTTTGCCAAGCTGCACAAGAACCTGAGAACTGAGCTGCCTGGAAAGGTGCTGCCTACGCTGCCGAACAAGAACAAATCCAATACGACGACCACGACGGATAGTGTCAGTGGAGACAAGGACTCGGAGGCTTCTTCGATCTCGTCGGTGTCGACGCAGTTGCCGCCAAGTAGCCCGGCGAGGGATAGCTTTAGTCACCAAAGCGAGACGGGTTCGAGACTGCTTTCGGTAAAAGGTTCGTCTCTACCACGATTGAGTTCACGACGGAACAGCGCGTTAACGACGTTCCTGATAGATCAACGGAGTGGAAGGCTTTCGCCGAGGGTTTCGGTGGATGGGAGACCCAGTAGCCCTGGTGGGTTTTTGGGCTCGAGGAAAGAAGAGGTGAGTTTCCGTTGAGACTGGGCAGCACAGGGACCAGGACTAAAGCATGATAGAACGTCGTATTGTGGCGGGAAAACCAGAGAGTGTCGCTGCGTGCGTTCTTGCGCTCGCTGCTTCAGAACCCACAAATAGCGACTACCAAGTCCATTGAGGAGTTCCTCACAGGTGAAGCTACCAAGCTTACGGATGCGGATGTTGAGGATATCATCCGTCGCAAGAACTTGGACAAGAAGCGGGTGGAGGAACAGAAGCGCTTCTATGAGATTGCGAGGAAACGGGCGGCCGAGTTGGATGTTTACATGGAACAGTAAGCTTGCCGTGAGACGCCGCCAGGAGGGAAGCTAACTTTATAAAGATTCCGGCAAGACATTGTCGAACGCAATGGCCTAACGATGCTGTTCAAGGAGATCAAGGACAAGGAGACGATTCAAGACCTCAGCTTACAATATCAGAAATTTGCCGAATGGCTACGCATCGAAGTCGCGGCTACGATATATCACCTCTTCCTCGCCGAAGACAACTCACCAGAGTTGTTTGCCCAAGCGAAGAGGATTCACTCTCTGATTCCCTACACTCTCATGAAGAACGCCATCCGGATAGCCAACCCAGCAGCCGTCATGTCCCACATTCTGGACATCTTCCTCGCCCAACCCTTTGGCGCCCGGTCGTTGATGCAAAGGATATTCTCCCTCACGTTGAACGACGGCATCCGAAACTTTCAGCGCTCTATCGACGCGCTCGCAGCCAAGATCAACGACCAAGTCTTTGTTGACAAGCTCAAGGCTTACAGCGACTCGGAGGAGCAGGTCAAGGTGGCCATCCGGGAAGAGGCCGAGGCAGAGCAGATTGATGTCATAGTGGTGATTTTGAGGAGTGACTTGCTCAAGCCGGCGCTGAAGCCGGCCCAGATTGAGAGGCTGTATAATGCGTATGTGGCGTTCAACAGCGCGGTGGAGAACGTGGACGAGGAGCTGAAGCAGGGGGCGCAGCTGTTTTCGTATCTGAAGCAGTTGCTGAAGCTGCACATGCGGCAGAGGGACAAGGCGATGATGCTGAACCTGATTGAGGAGCCGGTGACGCTGCAGCTGTTTAGGGATTTGTTTACGATCTTTTACGAGCCGCTTGTGAGGGTGTACAAGTCGGCGAATGTGTATAACAGTGTGACGGATTTTGCGGCGTTTGTGGATGATTTGATTCAAGTAAGTTTCATTGCTGTTGCTGATGATGATGATGATGATGAAGAGGAGATGGCTGACAGTTGGAAACAGGTCGTTGAAAAGTGCCGAGACCAAGACGCTTCTGCAGACCCTAACCAGACCGTGCAAGCCTTCATCGACCTTTGCCAGCGGCATGAGCACAACTTTTACAAGTTTGTCCACGAGGTTCACACGCACGACAATGGGCTTTTCACGCAGCTGATGGGGTGGATTGAGGGCATTCTGGAGTTTTTGAGGCATGGCCCCAAGAACGGCAGTCTGGATATCAACGCCTTGTTTGAAGGGGGTGTCAGCACTGGAGTTGTCGACAAGGACAAGGCCATTGAGGAGATTGACAAGTTGATTGCCTGGCAGGAGGCCAGAAAGAAGTGGCATCACGACAAGACTAGGCAGAAGATGGCTGCGGAAGGGGGTGGCCCGGGGATGGTGGATGGGGTGCCGATGGCGTTCAAATCGAGTGATTTTGGGTTGAATGAGGATGATTTGGAGGATATGGCGTATGATGACGATTCGGAGTCGGAGGCGGAGCTGGAGATTGAGGATGAGATGGATCCGATTGAGGCGGAGAGGAGGAGGAGGGCGAGGAGGCAGGATCGGCTGAGGAGGAATGCCGGGGAGCCGGAGAAGCCTCAGGTGGAGGAGGTGCACAAGCTGAAGGAGAACTTTTTGGTGATGTTGAGGATGGTGCTTGCTGAGTAGGATGAGGCGGTGGCATTTTTGGGGAGGAGGGGGGTGGGCATGTGTAGTTGGGGGCACGGGACTTGGGAGGGGAGGTGTCATCATGGGCATCTGGACTGGTTTTTGGGGGGGTATGAGGTGAGGTGGAGTATTTAGAGGGGTGATAGATGGGATCTTTGCTACAGTGTTAAGAGGCTTGTTGTTGAGGGTAAGGTAATAGGAGGGTAAAGGGGGATACATTATTTCCTATTTATCTCCATGTAGTTGAAGAAGCGATAGCTTTTTGGTGGCGTTGGTGGGGGACGGCGGTCGTCCCAATCTAATAGATCAGTTTAATATATTGTTTACTGTTGACTGTCATTGCACCAGGTAACGGTGCCAACCCCTGAATTATAAATCCGAGGCTCCCTATAGGCAGTTGTAGCATGCATGTCACCCAACGGCCGGGCAGGGCGCCGGGCTACTTTTGCTTGTATTCATGTCACTACAAGCCGAGGATGTCCGCCGTCCGAAGAGCGGCTTGGTAGACCCGCACATGCTTTTCCCGGTTTCTGTATCCGGTGAGAGCTTGAAGCGTGGCAAAGAGGACAGCAGCACGAGACACATATGGGAGTTACACCACGTGTGTGATATGCAGGTGATCCAAATTCGGACAGGACAGACACACGGCCAGACACAACCAGTGACGGAAGCAGAACAGGGCGATGGAGGGCATCTTTCGGGATTCTTCAAGATCTCAAGGCTGCCTGGGGTCTGAAAGAGAGTTGCGCGATGGTCGCAAGGAAATTCGGAATCAGGCCGACCAGCTGGTGGATGAAGGCGAAAGCTAAACACACAATTGGCCACTGGTTGGTTCTGCCAGCCGCCAGGCGGGGGGACGTCAGCCCAGGAATTATGGAGGGGCACTGCGGAACTGGTTGCTGGGTTTGGTGTCGGCAACTCGGGTAATCAACAGGCGCTGATTGGTCGATCGAGGCTGGAACAGCCTTTGGTGCTTCGGGTCGTGGAATCATCGAAGGAGCCAGCCGGGAGCGAAGCTGCTTGCTTTGCCTGTGCGCAGGACCGGTCTGTGCATGTCGTCCATTTGAAAGAAGCTCAAATATTTTGAAGCATTTCAAGAGGAACACGACTTCTCCCCTCCCTCTGTTATACCCCCCCGCACCCACCCCCCCCTCTCCTCTCTTTTTTTAGACGACGATGGCATCCTCAATGGCTTGGAGAAGGTTAGCCGCTGCGCCGGCGGTGAGTTTTGCCTTTTTGTTTGCTGAAAGAGAAGAAGCTGTTGTTTGTTTGCATTCGGCAATTGGGGGGTTGTGTTAAGGCGCAAGCCCGTGAATGCCGAGGTGATTTGGAAAAAGTTGGACTGACGACGGTCGGGAATAGCTTCCTCGCGCTCTCAGAACTCCTACACAGAGGGCTTTTTCCACAACTAGACCAGCCGGTGAGTCAGCTGTCTTTATATACACCGTTATATTGCATTTTTGGCAATTTGCGAAACACCAGATGGACTGACTCTCGCAGCCCGCGTTATCGCCAACGGGCCCCTCCGGGCGAAGGAGGCATCGCCATTCGTGAGCAGCAAGTACCCTGTCATCGTATGTTCTTCCCTCCCGTCGAACACAACCTCCTCCTCCCCCCTATTACCCCTTGAGAGATCGATTCCCGGCTTTTGGAGGTGGAAGCGGGGGGAAAGGAAGGGGGGAGACCCAAGAGCTAGTAATGAGGGAACACGGCCAGTTGACACATTGAACGCTTTCTTTGCTTGTAGGACCATGAGTACGATGCGATCGTTGTTGGTGCCGGTGGTGCCGGTCTCCGTGCCGCCTTCGGTCTCGCTGAGGCCGGCTTCAACACTGCCTGCATTTCCAAGCTCTTCCCCACGAGAAGTCACACAGTCGCTGCCCAGGGTGGCATCAACGCCGCCCTCGGCAACATGCACAAGGACGACTGGAGATGGCACATGTACGACACAGTGAAGGGCTCCGACTGGCTCGGTGACCAGGACGCTATTCATTACATGACCCGCGAGGCTCCCGCTTCTATCATCGAGCTTGAGAACTATGGCTGCCCCTTCTCCAGAACCGAGGACGGCAAGATGTGAGTAGACTTCAAGAGGCAGAATGGAGATGGCCAAGAAGCTGACATGTCAACTCAACAACAGTTACCAGCGTGCTTTCGGTGGTCAGTCTAAGGAGTACGGCAAAGGCGGCCAGGCTTACCGTTGCTGCGCTGCTGCCGATCGTACCGGTCACGCTCTTCTCCACACTCTCTACGGCCAGTCTCTCCGTCACAACACCAACTACTTCATCGAGTACTTCGCCATCGACCTGATCATGCAGGATGGTGAGTGTCGCGGTGTTCTCGCCTACAACCAGGAGGATGGTACCCTCCACCGCTTCCTCGCCAACAACACCGTTCTCGCCACCGGCGGTTACGGCCGCGCCTACTTCTCTTGCACTTCGGCCCACACCTGCACCGGTGACGGTATGGCCATGGTTGCCCGTGCCGGTCTCCCCAACCAGGATCTCGAGTTTGTCCAGTTCCACCCTACCGGTATCTATGGTGCCGGCTGCCTGATCACTGAGGGTGCTCGTGGTGAGGGTGGCTACCTCCTCAACTCCGAGGGTGAGCGTTTCATGGAGAGATATGCCCCTACCGCCAAGGATCTTGCCTCTCGTGACGTCGTCTCCCGCTCCATGACCATGGAGATCCGTGACGGCCGTGGCGTCGGTGCCGAGAAGGACCACATCTACCTCCAGCTCAGCCACCTTCCCGCCGAGATTCTTGCCGAGCGTCTCCCCGGTATCTCTGAGACGGCCGGCATTTTCGCCGGTGTCGATGTCCGCAAGCAGCCCATCCCCGTCCTTCCCACCGTCCACTACAACATGGGTGGTATCCCCACTCGCTACACTGGTGAGGTTCTTACCGTCGACGAGTCTGGCAACGACAAGGTCGTTCCCGGTCTCTTCGCGTGCGGTGAGGCTGCTTGCGTGTCTGTCCACGGTGCTAACCGTCTGGGTGCCAACTCTCTCCTCGACTTGGTCGTTTTCGGCCGCGCCGTTGCCCACACCATCCGTGACAACTTCACCCCCGGCGCCAAGTTGAAGCCCGTTGAGGCTGATGCCGGTGCCGCCGAGATTGAGATGCTCGACAAGATCCGCACTGCTGACGGCCCCAAGAGCACCGCCGAGATCCGTCTTGCCATGCAGAAGACCATGCAGCGCGACGTCTCCGTCTTCCGCACCCAGGAGTCCCTTGACGAGGGTGTTGAGAAGATCAACCAGGTCGACCAGACCTTCTCCCAGGTCGGCATCAAGGACCGCAGCATGATCTGGAACTCTGACCTTGTTGAGACCCTTGAGCTCCGCAACCTGCTCACTTGCGCGTACGTATTTTCTGAGGGATTGAAGCAGAGAAAAAACATAGGCTAACGATTGACTCTACAGTGTCCAAACCGCCACCGCCGCCGCCAACCGCAAGGAGTCTCGTGGCGCCCACGCCCGCGAGGACTACCCCGACCGTGACGACGAGAACTGGATGAAGCACACCCTCACCTGGCAGAAGCCCCACGGCAAGGTCGACCTCAAGTACCGCCGTGTTATTGGCACCACCCTCGACGAGAACGAGTGCAAGCCCGTTCCTCCTTTCAAGCGTGTCTACTAAAATAGGAAAAAAAGGCTCGCGGTGGGATGATGAGTTTGGGGTTGCTGCTTTTAATATTTTTATATACCAATTGTGAGGGATGAGAGAGTGATGAGGTGTGTTTGTTTGCCCGGGTTGTGGGGAGGAGGAGGGTTTTTACCTAGTTTTAGTAGTTTGGCATAACACACACACACACACACACACACACTACAACAGCATGAAAGCACGGCGTCGAGGTCTTGGGAAAACGGGAAATTAGGAGGGGGGGGAAGAAAGAAAGAAAACTGATCGGGTTGAGGGGAAGGTTGAGATGGAAGTAAAGGGGTTGAGGGGAACATGAGAAGATGAGAGGAGGAGGGGGGAATGCCCCAGAGGAATTGAAACGATACACACTCGCACATTTAAACAAAACATTTTCTTTTTGTAGTTGTTTGTGTTCGATTGTTTGTTTGTTTGCTGTTGCCCCTTGTTTTTTTTTTATATAGAAATTGGGGCGGCTGTGGCGAGGAGTGGTGAGAGAGGGTGGTATGAATAGTTGTGTAAAAAAAATTGTTCCGTTTTAGTGTAAGTTTGTATATTGGTCCGGGAGATGGTGGATGGATGGTGTTGAATACAATGTTTTGTGAAATGTTTTTTTTTGTCTTGTTGTTTGCTCATGTCTTGACGGCAACGAAGAAATACATGTTGGATTTACGACTCCTTTGTGGACTGTGTTGTAGGCAAGTGCGGGCAAGAGGAGAGTAGGTGGAAGAAGAGGCCCCTATTCGAACCCCCTCGAACGTCTCACTCGAGCAGACAGCTCCAACCACCATAACTCTGAACCTGACAAGAAACAAACAAAATATCAAGCCGCCCGCCCCCCCCCCCCCCCAGTGGAGTTCAATTAAAAGGCGGAAATAGGATGTGAAAAAAAGAAAAAAAAAGTCAAAAGTAAAGAAGGATTTTGGGGGCCACCCGGGGATTGAACCCGGGACCTCTCGCAATTTTTTTTTGTCGACTACCAAAGCAATCAACAAACTCAGGGTGGACCCTAAGCGAGAATCATACCACTAGACCAGCGGCCCTTTTTTTTCTTTCTTTTTTTTTTCTTTTTTTTTTGGAATTGATGTTCTTTTTTTCGAAAGGGCGGAGGTAGAGGATATGATTCGAGCGCCACTTACGGAGTACCCATCCAGCAAACAGCATGGCAAACAGCATGGCAAACAGCATGGCCATTATTGTTGCCTTCTGAAAAAAGGGGGGTCGAGTTTTGGGGGTGGGGGGAGCAGAGGGTGTCCCTCGGCATCAAGTGAAACAGTCTTGGGTGAGTGAGGTTAACGAAGAAAATTGACTGGAAAATGATCACTACTGCTTGCTTGAAACACCCCCAAGAAAGAAGTGAGAGTGTAGTTTCTTGAATCAGATTTAGGGGCATCAAGCCAGTAAGTTTGTCTCAACTCAAAAAACTATACATGTCAAAAAGGGACAACTCAACGGCCAAACCTGGATTTCCATCACTAACCCCCGAGAAATACACCCCCATTTTTGACCTTAATCATCCATTCACACCATTTCTATCTCTCTCTACCTGTAGAAAAAAAAAGTGTTGAACTTTCGCTCCTTTTCCTTTTTAACCCCCCTTTTTTTACAATCAAAAGCCCTATCCATCTTCCCAATCCCACCCACCCAGTGTCCTTTAAACCCATTTATATTTATTCTTCATTTTTCACACATCAGAACCAGACGGCATGTCCGGGGGTATCGTTCATTATTGAGTTTCTCATCTCTTTTTTTTTTATTACTTCATTGTCATCATCGCACTCTTAGTGGTGGAACAGACGAATGTTTTGCTCCACAAAGGTGATGCCCAGCTTCTCGGCCGTCTCGAACACGGGAATGTCGTTTTGGCTGCCGAGGGGAGCGGCAATGTACTTGACGCCCGATCGGGAGGCGCGGTAGACATTGTCGGTGAAGGGGAACTGTTTTCACTCTTGTTAGTAGCTGCTTTTTGAGTGTTCAGAACAGGAAAAAAACCTACGAAAGCATCGCTGGAGACAACAACATCGGTAAGCTCTGCCGAGCCACTCAGTCTTCTCCTCCTCGGTGAAGGCGGCAGGGACCTCCTCGAAGAAGCCCTCAAAGGCCTCACGCTCAGGGCCGGACTTGGGGACCTGACCACTGACGAGCAGGTCAATGGCGTTGCTCTTGTCGGGGCGCTTGGTGCCCTTCTTCCACTTGATGCCCAGGACGCGGGGGTGGAAGCGGAGCCACCAGTTGTCGGCCTTGTCACCGGCAAGACGGGTGCAGTGGATTCTGGACTGCTGGCCAGCGCCGAGACCAACAACCTGGCCCCTAGCAGCGTAGCAGACAGAGTTGCTCTGAGTGTACTTGAGAGCAATGGTGGCGACAGTCAAGTCACGCTGGGCGGTCTCGGAAAGAGGCCCGGCGTTCTTGGGGGTGATGATGTTGCGGAAGGTCTCGGGCGAGATCTCGACGTCGTTGCGGCCCTGGGCGAGGGTGATGCCGTAGACGGTTCTGGTCTCGGACTTGGAGGGCTCAAACTCGGGGTCCATCTGGAGGACGAGGTACTTGCCGCCCTTCTTCTTCTTGAGGATCTCAAGAGCAGCGGGCTCGTACCCGGGGGCGATAACACCGTCGGAAACCTCCTTGGAGATGATGCTGGCGGTGGGGACATCGACAATGTCGGAAAGAGCAATCATGTCGCCGAAGCTGCTCATGCGGTCGGCACCTCTGGCGCGGGCATAAGCCTGAGCGAGACCGGAGCTCTCAATGCCGGGGATATCGTCAACCATGTAAACCTTGCGCTCCTCGGCGGTCAAGGGCTCGCCGATGGCAGCACCGGCGGGAGAAACGTGCTTGAAGCTGGCGGCAGCGGGCTTGCCGAGGGCCTTCTTGAGCTCCTTGACCAAAGGCCAGCTGTTGAGGGCATCGAGAAGGTTGATGTAGCCGGGGGCACCGCCGAGAACCTTGAAGGGAAGCTCACCCTCCTTGACGTAGGCGGAAGCGGGCTTCTGGTGAGGGTTGGCGCCGTAGCGGAGGGGAAGGTACTGGAGGCCGGTAGCGTACTGCTTGCGGAAGAACTCGGAGATGGCGGCATCGTAGTCGGCGGTGTGCTCGAAGGCCTTGAGGGCATAGAGTTTCCTGGTCTCCTCCTTGACCTCACCGGCCTCGATCTCTCTGAGGAACTCGGCGTAGTCCCTGGGGTCGCTGAGGATGGTGACGCGAGAGTGGTTCTTGGCCGCGGCGCGGATCAGAGTAACACCGCCGATATCGATCTCCTCGACCGCCTCGGGAACGGTGACATTGATCTTGGCAACCGTGTCCTTGAAGGGGTACAGGTTGCAGATGACATAGTCGACCTTGTCAATGTTTTGCTCGGCGAGGTCCTTCTCGTCCGAACCGAGGTTGCGAGCCAGGATGCCGGCGTGAACGGCGGGGTGGAGAGTCTTGACACGGCCACCGAGCATCTCAGGGGCCTTGGTGATGGCAGAGATGTCCCTGGAGAAGAAGCCACACTGTCAGCCACTTTCTCCCAAAATGACTCACCCATGAAGCCGAAGCTGGGTGACCGATCTCGAAGTAGGGAGGGTGAGGGCACTCACTCGACAGGGAAACCAGACTCCCTGATCATCTTGGAAGTGCCGCCGGAAGCGAGGATGCGCACATTGTTCTGGACAAGGCCCTTGGCCAAGTCCAACAGTCCCGTCTTGTCATAGACAGAGACAATCGCAATTCTTTGGGAGCCGGCCATGGTGACTAGAGTGTATGTTGCGCGGGGCAATCTGTGATCGTGAAAGAAACCAGGAAGGTTTGTCAAGGTCAGTCAACTCTTCTCTCTTTCTTGATCATGTATGACGTGTGTGTGTCACTCACTGTCTTCCACACCAGAGGAGCAAAGCTTACCAGTTGTGTTTCTCTCTACCAACTCTCTGGATGTTACAAAGAAGAGAAGAAAAAAAAAAAAGAGAGAGAATCAATCACACCATGCAGAGGCTCGCCTCGTCTAGAGGAGTCTAATATTTTTTTGCGACACCTCCTGCCCGTCCCATACCCCCCTCTTCCGTCACTCCCCTATCAACGCTAATGGAGGGGTAGCTACGGGTGCAATCTGCCCCACGATTCGCCGTGATCGGGCATGGCCCCACACTTGAAGCAACAGGAAGTGCATCCACCAGACTTATGTAATTGCCGGGCTAGTCTCGATTGGACTGTGGGCTGGTATAAAAATCTCTTGCTGTGCCATTTTCCACACGGCGAGTCTCGCATCTTCAACCTGTTTTGGTGGTGATGTCGATGATGGGTTGCCACCACAGCCCTTGGAGCTTCAATTGATTGACTTTTGACTTCAATTGAAGCTTCCTTCCCTGTTGTTTGGGACCTGGAGCAACCCACCGCCCGACAGCCAGCCAAAACCTTGTGCCAGACCGGCGCACAGCTGCGTCGACTGCTGACAGTCCGCACCTGCTCCCATCAGCCCTTTATATACCAGTGCTCTGCAGCAGGACTTCGCCCTTTGGGGCATTTGGTCAATTTGTAAGTTTGGCTCAACCATCTGCTTCTCACTTTGCCAATAAAACTAACCTCTCTCCCAGGAAACGATACAGAGAAGATTAGCATGGCCCCTGCACTAAGGATGACACGCTACTCAAAGAGATGCTAAAGATTTTATTTTTTATTTTTGACGTTTCTATGTCCCCGATATGTTCAGCAATCACCTCGAGATTCCTGCTCAGAGGCCAGGTAGGTGGTTGACTTGAAGGAGGTCGAGCGTTCGAGTCCAGCCTGGATCGTCTTCATCCCGCTTTTTTTTCTCAACACCACTTGCTCCCACTCCCAGTGACCCTCCCCTTCCCCCCCCCGGCATTAGTGTGTACAGCTCTGAGCAACTTCCCCGTACTCTTTTAGCTGAAGGATAATTCTTCGTGCCAAGAACAAACCCCCCATGCCTTGCTATTACCAAACACCTCTGTTCTTTCAACATAGACTCAAGGTGCATGAAAGCCGGGCAACATATTCCCAATCACCTCCAGACAAGAATCTTGATATTTAGCATCAACAGAAAAATACAAAGCGAATACCCAAAAACTGCATCATCCAACGCCTCCCAATGCCTTTGTTGTTTTGTTTCCCATAAAATATTCAGAAAGAACCAGCACCATTTTTTTTTCCAGCCCTTTGATCAGACATCAAGCTCACTCTTGATACAACCTCCCCAGCAACCCCTTCTCGCCAACCCCCCTCCTCTCCTCATCCTCCGCAATCTTCAAAATCAGCTCCCCAAACAACCCATTAGCCCACCCGAACCAGCTCCTCGTAAAGTCAAACTCGCGCCACGCGTTCACCGTTTCATGGATAACCCCGGCGCCCGAAGTCGAATTAAGCACCATCAACATCTGCTCCCCAACCACCCTCCCCCTCTCCTCATCCGAAAACCCAGCAAGGTCCTCAAACGCCGTCAGCGCCGCCACCGTAGCAGCCATCGGCCACCCCTTTCCAGGACCAAGATGAGGACCGCCCACGGCCGAAAGCGCAGGACCCTTGGCATAATACGGGTTGGCCATGCTCAGCACAAACTTGCGAGTGTTTTGGTAAATCTTGGCATAGTCATGCTTGGCTTCTTCCTCCTCGTCCTTCTCCTTCTCCGAGTTCTTCTCAATCGTACCGTTGCGCGCGCCGAGGCTCTTGTTCACAGACTTGACCATGCGTGGCGTCGTCGAGGTCTTGGTGTTGGTGTAATTCCACAAGGGGAAGGCCAGCAGAGATGGAACATTGGCATCGTCCATCAAGTTGGCACCGCCATACCCATCAACTTCGTACGCAAAAATCTCGCCAAAGTCGCGGTGCTTGACAACGGCGTCTTTGGCAATGCCGTGGCGGATAGTCTTGGCCAGCTTGCGCATCTCTGTCGTAAGATTAGCAGCCTTGGGGTTGAGTTTCTGCTCGGCGAGCCCCTCCATGATCGCAGACGCCTGCTCGAGGTAGGCAGCAAACATCATGTTACTGGGAGTCAAAAGCTGGAAGATGCAGGCGTCATCGCTAGGTCTAAAGGCAGATCGAACCATGCCGTTCTCCTTGACGGGGTTACCGAGGCCGTCATTCGTCAAGGTCTCGGAGCCACGGTTGGTGTACCCCGTAAAAGTCCAGGCCGACGGCAAGACGTGTCCCTCCTCATCGTATGTCCCGAGACGCATGGCGGCTGAAGCATCAACAGCCGCTTCCACAGCGTTGACCCAGGAGTACCTGGAGAAGAACTTGAGGTCGTCGGTCCGGGTATAGTAAGCGGCGCTGATCTGGAGGAACGAAGCCAAGCTGTCCAGCTCCCACTTGCAGTCAAACACCAGCTTGGGGTTGTAAGGAGGCTGCGGGTTGTTCTGGTGGAAAGCACCATTGTGCGTCGGAGGAATGCCGCTCTCGGGAGGTGGCTGGAACGAATGGCAGTAGGGCGAAATGACAATGTATCGAGAGTGTGAGTTGATCAACCCACGCCACAGACTGGCCAGGGAATCAAACTTGTCAGACGGCTCCAGCAACGGCAGATACGAATAAATCTGACTGGCAGAGTCACGGAGCCACATGGCGTCAATATCACCCGTGATCACATAGGTGAGCTCCTCATCCGTCATCACCGTCTGCACCTCGTTAGAGCCTTCTTCTCCCGAGCCGCCTTCCACCGTCTTGTTGGCATATCCACGCCATTTGACCATGGTGTCGAGCGTGTTCGGGTAGCTGTTCTCAAACAGACGATAGAGATCCGGGTCCTTGATCACCTTCTTCATGCGCTCAAGCAGAGCTTCAAGAGCGGGCAGCCGGAAAGTCCTGCACTCGGGGGGCGGGCGCACAAATGGGAACTTGCGCTTGCCTTCAGAGTGCGGTCCCGGCTTCTGTCTCTGCAGCTGTTCGAACCCGATACAGTCAACCTTGGCTGTGGCAGCCGGTCCGGCCTCTTCAGTGGTCGCGAACTGGTTCCCAAAGTCGGCCAGCCCAACGTCGCTATCGTCACCTTCTGCCGGAGGGACTTTGGTGGTCTCGGGCTTGGTAGGCGTGGCTCCATGTTCTTCGGTGACATCGTCTTCGCGCTCAGCAGAGCCTGCCGGGTTCGTGTTTGGGTGTGCTACTTGGCCACTGTCGTGGTGGTGAGGGGTAACATGTTCGGGAACTTTTGGAGCGTGTAAATCGAGCGTCTCCTGCCTGGGCGTGGCTATCGGGGACTGGTACCCAAGCCAGAATATGATGACGGTCAAGAGGAGAGCGATACCGATGACTCTCCCCCTCCGGTTGCCGGTGAGAAATGGGACGACCATGGGTGTCTTCAGGTGGCGGCCGCCGGTTGGACAAGTTGTCCACGACCGAGTGGTGGGTCGAACAGATTATCCAACTTGGTGAGTGAGTGGCATGTAACGATATCGTAATGACCACCAGAGGCCAGAACACAGCAAATTTCACCGCAAGAGCAGGTGAAGTTGACGAGGCAGAAACATGGAATTTGTGGCAAAAAGAAAAAGAAACAATCCCGGGTTTTCTCGTCAGGCCCCAAAATTCCCAGAAAGGGAGGAAGTCACGACAGGACCCCAGCTTGTTCATCGCATCTTGCTGTCCAGCCAGCTTCTTGGCGAGGTCTTGTTCTGGCCACTTATAGGCTTGGGAATGGGACAAGCGGTGGGTTGGTCCAATAGACTGTGGTGGCCCAGAGGCAGGGATGTTCAGCCTGACTCTAACCCCTGAACCACAGCGGCCGTTGGAGATGCCGAGTGCCGATTCCTGAGAATACTCCGCAGTAGCCTCACTTACATGGCGCAACAGAAATGTCGGATGAATCATATTGCTTCTAAGTATATCGTGTTCCTTTCTCTAGATTACGCGAGAACCGTTGTCTGTCTGTCTATCCCATCAAAAACAAAAACTCCTTTTTCCTTGTTGCCGGGTATTGGACTATTATCCTCCAGAGCCATACTCGCCATTATTACCATGCAGAATCTCACCGAGACAAGTCCTCACTGCTACTAGACTGCAACTCTTCCTCCTCCTCCTCTTCCTCCTCCTCCTCTTCCTCCCCCTCATCACCTGTCACTTCCTTCTTCTTAGGCTTCCAAGCCGGAACATCCTCACACCCCTTGGGAACCCGACAAAGACCCCTCACATCACACGTCTTCCACAAAACCTCCTTCACCTCCCTAAACACCTGCTCCGGCGCATCCATCGCCCAAATCACATCCAAATGCTCATACCCCGGAATGACCTTCTGATGCACCACCTCCACATGTGGCTCCCTCCCCCTCTCAAACCGCCTCAGCAACTTTTCTCCATCCACCAAATCATCATCCCCCGCCACCCAAAGCGCAAAAGGCGGCGCCCTCTCATCATACCAAGCCGTGCTCCCCTTCCTCCTCCTCCCCTTTTTTCTTTTCCTCCCCCCCCCACCACCATCAGCCATATCCCTATCTACCTCGCCCAAAACCCCCTCTTCCCCAACCTCCCCATCCTCCCTCTCCTCAGCCCTCCACTCCTCCTTTGTACTCAGTATGCACTTGTGCCTCGCAAAGCACTCCCTCCCCAACCACCACCTCATACTCTCGCTACTAACAAAAACCGGCGCAAACCTGAACATCCTGTCCCTCAACCCCCTATCCCACCTCCCATCCCCCCACCCAAACAAGAAGCCGAAAACCTTGTACCCCAACCAGCCATACACCCTCCCGTTTAGTCGCCTGTGCATCTCCATCATGAACGGAATAAACGCGTGAATCCCAAAAAAGACCCTGAAAAACCCCGGGCTTATGACCCTCATGAATTTAAAATACATCTTCCCAATCAACGGCCCCGCATACGCCGCCGGAGCCAACCCGCAAAAAACCGTTATTCTGTCTCCGAGGTCAGGTCGCTGCTCTTTTGCCAGCGCGACCAGGGCTTGCGTCGTGCCCTGCGAGTGGCAGATCAGTCCTGTTTTTGAAAACCCCGTCTCGTAGCACACACGGGAGATCAAAGCCGGGAGGTCAAAGACGCCCATTTGGCGGATGTTCCAGGCCCACATCCTCGGGTCGGAGTACTTCAGTAGCGTGTGCTTTGGCGTGAAACCGCAGCGGTTGTTGCCCAGCCAGACGTCATACCCTGCCTTGGCGAGTAGAAAAGCCAGGGAGTCGTCATCGTTGACGCAGTACGCCCCCGAGGATTGCAGTAAGCCGTGGATCAACAGCACCGGGAACTTCGCTGGAGAGGATGGGGGTTTCCTCGGGGGTGTGAAGGTCTCCGGGCCGCGATGGGCACGTTCGCAAGCCGGCAAGGGGGTGTGCTCCTTCGGATCGTAGACATGCCAGAGGTCGATGAGGAAACCGTCTTCCGTCTGGACTTCAAAGGGTTCGATATCGAGGCCTACTCTTCTGGCGTAGTAGGCTGGGTCGCAGACCAAGGGGTCGGGGCCGCCTTCGGTGGGGGGGTAGGGGGTTTTACCTGATGGGCGGTGGCCGGATAACCAGGCTTCTTCTTGCCGTTTCCTGATCTCGGCCCGGCGGGTTTCTTCCTTGTAAAAGGGGCGGGAGGAAGCGTCGGGGTTGCGAAGGGTGACGAGTCGCCAGAGGTGTTGGACCGAGGGGCCGATGGAGGTGAATAGCGCGCCGAGGACGATGACAGCTAAGAAACCGAGGGAGAGGAAGAAGGAGGTGAATCGGAAGATGAGACACTGGATGTGGGTCATAAGGGAAGGGGGGCCGTATAAAGGTAGAGGGGGGAACAAGGGGTTGGTGTGGGATGGTGGCATCGACCTTTTGAGGCTGGCGTCGGTCGATCTTTTGTGTGGGGAGGTGCCATTTTGCTGCTGGGAGAGGGCAATGGCTTTTTCTTCGTTGGGGGATTGGATTGTGTGGTGGTGGGTTGGTTCGAGTTGTGTTTCGAGTTCTTCTCGCAAGACGTTGAGCTTGTGAGCTTCTTGGACCGGGACGGTTGGGAGCCGGTGGCCGTCGGCTGTTACTATCACCGTGTCGTGGGGGGTTACGAATTGGGCTTCGACCGCGATGGCGACGTGGTTGCCTTGTTCTGGTGGGAGGAGAGAGAGCTTTTCTGATTGCTCGGCGAACTCGACGGCTGTTTTGGCGAGTTCGTTTTCGTCTATGGCGCCTGGTGGTGAGGACTGGGTGAGGGTTGCTTGGACAGCCATGGCTGAAGGTGAGGGTGGCTTAGTCTCCCTCTGAACGGGGAATATATTGCTGATATTATACAGATTGAACCGATTGGAAAGAAAATACCGTCATGATAGTAGAACAACAGGTGTCTAGATCTTGAAGGAACCGCCCGTCTCACAAACAGAAAAAACATCAATGAGACTCGAGGCATGCTATACTCCATCCCCACATGCCAGACGTCATTTGTGGCTGCAGTTACTAAACGGGACAAAAACGGTCTCGTTCCGGAGAAACCAGCCACTGTCGACAAGACTTTCCCCCTCTTGCGATCGAAACTGAAAAGGATAAACCATCCACATCGAGCGAAATGCAGGGTCACAAACAAGCTTCTTATCATGACATGGAAAGATGGATGTCAAGGGAAAAAATAACCCCCTGCGTCACCATGCAGCTGGGAGCATGGGCGTGGGGGTTGACAGGGCCTTGCGATTGGTTTAGGTCTATTTCAGGCATGTGAAGATCGTTGATCACAGTGGGGCTCTGCTGGGTGGGTGGCTGACAGCACAACCCTTGGGCTTGGGACTTGGGATGAACCTGAACCGTCATCAACAACAACAAGTGGAAAATATTTCCCATGGACAAGAAATCTGAATGATCGAGAGGTCGTGCCTGCTATTCGTTCTCCCAAAGATCGGCATAGATGTCGTGCATAATGAGACAAGTGACCACAAGTGACCCGGAACACTGGGTACCTGTCTGTTGAACTGAACATTGGACGTCTGGCAGGCTGGCACGAAAGAGCAAGACATATCATGGTGTGAAAAGTAAAAGACTAACCCGACAAGCCTATTTCGTAACATCATGCCGTTCTTCTAGCCTAGACACTACATAACGTGAACCCAAAGAGAAGGGTTAGGGTTACCCTAGTCCCGGCTGGGTAAGCGGATCCGCGAATAGCCAATGCCATATGCCGAGGTGAAAGGAAGCCGAAGCCACACCACCAGCTGCTGCTGGGTTCACCACCACCAAAACAGGCGGGTCTACTTTCGCGCTGAGAGTCTCCTCGAATGCTTTAAACCCCAGAGGCCATTGGGTGTTCCTAGTCAGCAGCTGCATTGCTCTGCTACCTCCTCATTCTCACATAACCATCATCTAATTTTTCCCAACCACAACTGCCGAAACCGTTCATGTACCTTGCTGGACCGCCCCTACCCTACCCACACCACGACACCACGCGACGCTCGGAAGCCATAACCCCCACGACAACGTCGCACCGCGCGAACTTCCAACCATGGCAGCAGCTTCAGAAGTAAGAGGAGCAAACAAGAGACGGGTCCGTCGACGCAGACAGGACAAGCCAGCGCTGGCGGCGCGTTTGGTGCTTGATGACCATGTCAAGAGTGATGTGGGCATTGTGTCGGAGGACTTGTACGCAGAGTTGTTTCCGCATTTGCAGCATGGTTGGTCTCCTGTCTTTTCTATACTGACTTGTCAAGCTGTTGATCCAGTGCTAACATTATCTTTTGCTACCACAAAGCCCACGAAGACGAAGACCACCACCCCCCTTTCGTCCACGTCGCCATCGCCCCCTGGGCACCAACCCCCACCCCCGAAGCCATCAACTGGTCAATCGTCCCCGTCACAAAATCCTCGGCCCTCGCCCCAAACACGGTCCAGTTTGCCCCCTCGTCCCTCGCCCTCCAGTCCTTCGCCATCAACCTCAAGCAAGTCGCGCCCTCGCGCCTGTCCAGCCACAGCAGCAGAAGCGGCATTGAGGTTTTGGTTCTAGACGTCACCGCGATCGCCCTCGACACCGTGTTCGTCAGCCTAGAAGGGGAACTAGCCAACCGACTGGAGAACGGCGAGGGCACCTTCTTCAGAGACCACCGCCCCTCCAAGGGCAAGGTCACCTCCTCCGCGGGCGGCGCAACCCCCACCCCCGAGGACCGTCTCACGGCTGCGTTGCGCACGGCGCTTGATACGCTAAAGGTGGTTCACACGGGGGATATGTTCCCGCTGCCACTCCCCCCTCACCCCGTCACCCACATCCCGCCCAACCCCGGCAGGATTGCACTGTGCGAGCCCGTCGGTCAGGGGATTCTCGCGCCTAGTACCAAGATTATTGTCTCGCGCGGGAGGATTCACTCCAAGCACAACCGCTCGTCCGCTCCACCGATGCCGAGCACCCGGATCGGTGGCGTGACCGAGGAGGATGAGGATACGTCCAATGATCAGTTTTACTCGGCAGCTGAGGAGGGCGCTCGCACAGATGCCCGGGTGGAGGAGGACGGGGATACCGAAACCGAAGTGGAAGAAGCCGAGGACGAAGAGGAAGATGCATTGTCAGACGACTCGATGGACGAGATGATCTCCCTCCAGGCTCCCAGCCTGACCTCTGTCCATCACAAGCGGCATCGGCACGCCCACCACCATTGGGGGTCGAGGCCGCAAGACCAACGGCATGAGCAGCGCTGTGTCTGTCTTTTCCAGCTTCACCGCCGCAACCGCCCGACCCGACCGTCCCCGCGGTAGGCTGTTCAAAGCTCACGGTCTGGTCCAGCCTGTGCCTCCTGAGGTCCTGCATCCGAAACCTGCTCCCGAAGATGATGAAGAAGCGCGGATCTACGTCGACGTGAGGGATCTTCCCCGGATTGGGTGTTTTTCGGGGGATTGGGTCAGGGTTGAGGCGGCGCAGGAGCCGCGTTCGAACGGGTTTGGGCAGTTTGGGCTGGGGAGCTTTGTTGACGCAGCCTCTGATGAAATCCAGTGGAGACCGGCGAGGGTGTATGGGTTGCCGGAGGGGTATTCGTCCAGGCCTGTGGCACGAGTGCCGAGCTCGAAACAGGAGGGGAGGAGGATGTTCGTTTTTCGAGAGCCAGGTTCAGAAGGGGGGGGGCGGGACGGGGCCGGGGGTGTATGCCTCGCCTATATTTCTGGCGAACCTGGAGGGGCCGGCTTATTTGAGGGTGGCGCCCATTCAAAGGGGTGGGGGAGGGCGTGCGGGGATCAAGGGGAAGAAGACAACGCAAGGGGTGGCGGCGGTGCTTCAGCCGCCGGCGGCGAGGGAGGTGATTTTGCAGCATGTCAGGACGCCGGTGGCGGTGGAGAGGGATGTGCAGACTGCCGTGATGGCGGGGCTGAAGTTTTGGTTTGAGAGGAGGTTGAGGGTGGTGAAGGGGGGGGATCTGATTGCTGTGCCGATTGATACGCAGCTTGGGAGGACGCTGCAGGAGGGGACGATGACGGGTGGTGGGGAAGGGGAAAGTGCGGTCGATGACGTGCTGGGGCTGATTGCCTCGAGGAGGACAGACCACCACAGCCTCAAGTATGACGAGGTGGCGTGGTTTAGGGTTGGGCATGTGTCGGCTGCGAAGCAGGAAGTTGGTGCGGAGACGATGGGGGAGGAGGAGGAGGTGGGGGAGGAGGAGGATCCCTGGGGGGGGGTGGCTTGTGTGGATATCTCGCTGGCGCATTTGGAGCAGACGGGGTCGACGACGAGTCGGATTCCGGGGATTGTGGGTAGTACTTGGAGGTATTATCTTGGAATTGATAAGTTGCCCAGACAGCCGTCCTCTCACGCCGGCAGCCCGTTGGTGATTGCGCCGGAGAGGACGGCGGCTGTCTCCCCTCTGAGGAGGAAACTGAGGGAGTTGATGGCTGCTGCTACTAGCAAGCCGGCGCTTCATCTCAAGATGCCACCCGTGGCTATCCTTCTTGTCTCTACCCAGCGCGCCATCGGGAAAGCCTTCACCGCGTCGCAAGCCTGCGCCGATATTGGGCTGCACACCTTTGCCGTTGACGCCTACGACATCGTCAACGACTCCGGCGCTGGCGGGAGCGACGTCAAGACTGCTGGGTTTCTGACATCGAGGGCGGAAAGAGCGATGAGCTGCGGCCCGGATTGCTGCGCGCTGCTGGTTAGGCATATTGAAGCTCTGACGGCGGACAGGATGGTGACCAGCATCAGGGAGGTGCTTCAAGATGCGAGGGTGCTGATCGCCACCACGACCGAGGTGGAGAAGGTGCCTGATGGGATTAGGGCGCTGTTTACGCACGAGCTGGAGATGACTGCGCCCGACGAGGGAGAGAGGGAGGCGATTCTCAGGACTATTCTGGACAACCAGGGTGTTGCTCTCGACCCCGAGGTTGAGCTCGGCGGGATAGCGCTCAAGACTGCTGCGCTGGTGGCGGGGGATTTGGTTGATGTTGTCGAGCGAGCCCTGGTTGCCCAGAAGGCGAGGCTGGAGGCCTTGTCGGCAAAGGCGTCCAAGAACGAGGGCGTGCCTGTCACGGTCCGGGACGTGAAAGTAGCTGGTGGGCCGGCGGCGCAGGGGCTGACAAAGTCTGACTTTGAGGTTGCGGTCGAGGCGGCACGGAAGAACTTTGCGGATGCGATTGGGGCGCCCAAGATCCCGAATGTGACTTGGGATGATGTGGGCGGGTTGAATAATGTGAAGGAGGCGGTGACGGAGACGATCCAGCTGCCGCTGGAGAGGCCGGAGCTGTTCGCCAAGGGGATGAAGAAGAGGTCTGGCATCTTGTTTTATGGTCCGCCTGGAACGGGCAAGACGCTGCTTGCAAAGGCGATTGCGACGGAGTACAGTTTGAATTTCTTCAGTGTCAAGGGGCCCGAGCTGTTGAACATGTATATCGGTGAGAGCGAGGCTAATGTCCGGAGGGTGTTTCAGCGGGCGAGGGACGCGAGGCCGTGTGTGGTTTTCTTTGACGAGTTGGACTCGGTGGCGCCGAAGAGGGGGAACCAGGGAGATAGCGGTGGTGTGATGGATCGGATTGTCAGTCAGTTGCTGGCGGAGCTGGACGGGATGAGCGGGGGGGATGAGGATGCGGGGGGGGTGTTTGTGGTGGGAGCGACGAACAGGCCGGATTTGCTGGACCAGGCGCTGTTGCGGCCGGGGAGGTTTGACAAGATGCTTTACTTGGGGGTGTCGGATACGCATGAGAAGCAGATGAAGATTATGGAGGCGCTGACGAGGAAGTATGTATTCCCCACCTTCACCTACCCGATAATGGTTGCTAACGACGATGTGAAAGATTCACCCTCCACCCCTCAGTCTCCCTCCGCAACGTCGCCGAGCGGTTGCCGTTCACTTACACCGGCGCCGACTTTTACGCCCTCTGCTCAGACGCCATGCTCAAGGCTGTAACAAGACAGGCTGCCCTCGTTGATAAGAAGGTCAAGGCTATCAACACGGAACGTCAAGCGCAGAATCAACCTGAGATCACCACCGCTTACTTCTTTGACCACTTCGCCACGAAAGAAGACGTTGCGGTCATGGTGACGGAGCAAGACTTCCTTGACGCGCACAGTGAGCTTATTCCCAGCGTCAGTGCTGGGGAGCTGGAACATTACGAAAAGGTCAGGGCTACGTTTGAGGGGGTGAAGGACAAGAAGGAGACGACGACGCAGCAGCAGCAGCAGCAAAACGGGAGGTTGGCTGTGGGGAAGAGGAGTGCCAGTGATCGGAGTGTGGTTGTGCATAGGGGTAAGGGGAAAGGAAAGGGCAAGGCGGTGGCGACGGGGAGTGAGGAGGATGAGTGTGATGATGGGGAGGGTGTGAATGGTGGTGGGTATAGGGATAAGGGGAAGGGGAAGGCGGTTGATGTTGGTGGTGGGAGTGGTGCGCCGTTTTGGGGGCAGGGGCAGGATGATGACGAGGGGTTGTATGACTGATATGAGGAGATATTTTGTTTATATTGTACAGAAGGGGTTATAAATGGGAAATAATACATGTTTTATGATTATTATTTTTCGACTGTGAAATGAAAATCACATGTGATATTTATAGCGACTGTCTCCTCACCAACATGAACTGAAAAGCATCTGACATTGAAAAGTAAACCATATACACCATACAGGCAGGCCTTCCTTGCTACAGCACATATCAAATCACCTAGTTAAACCGAAACTATCAAACACCAACCTCACCTCCGAAGAACCCAAACTCCCAACACATTATCAACCCACGAATCAAACATGTCCGTATTTACTTCTTCTCCTCTGGCTTCTTGTCATTTTCAATACTCTCCTCCTCCTCCACCACCGCCTCCTCCTCCTCACTGCTCTCCTCCTTAATCGCCTCGGCCTTCTCCACCGCCTCAATCTCCTCCTTGCTCACCCTCTCAATCGGGCTCCCATGCAAGTTCGTCACGGGCGGGTCCACGTCCTTGGGCAGACTCCCCTTCCAGCTCGTGGTCGTAGGGCTCTGAATCGTGGTCTCAATCGTTTTATCGCCAGAGCTCTTCCACCCCGTGCTCGTCGGGCTCTGCAATCCCGCTGGAGTCTCCTCTTTTTTGCTTTCCTTCGCCTCGTTCTCCTGCACCTTTGCACTAGCAGCAGCAGCCTTGCTCCTTAACGCATCCAGCTGATTCTTTTTCGCTTTTTGCGCAGCTTCTTCGACGATGGAGCGGATTGGCAACGAGGCAGGATGTTGCGGCGCGGGAGTGGTGGCCTTGACCGGGTTCTGAGGAGCCACCGGTGGAAGGGCAGGTTTGGAGGTGGTGACTGGTTTTTGGACGATGGGGGGAGGGGCGGCGGATTTGGAGGGGATGGTGAAGTCGTCGTAGTAGATTTGGACGTGTTGTTTGAGTTCGCCGTATTCGTTCCATTCTTCGATTTCTACTAGGTCCTACACACGGGGGTTAGGTGGGGGGGGGGGGGTGGTGAGGGTGTGGTATGGGAATAGAGGGGGGCAGAACGGGGGGACGAACGCCGAGGACGAGGCCTTCTTGGACTAGGCCGGGGATGTTTGTGTGGCGGCCCGAGGCGTGTTTGGGTGCGCGGCGGCCCCAGAGCATGCGCGCTTTCTCGTCGACGGCGATGTCGATTGCTTTGAAGGGGACGCGGTTGGCGCGGAGGATGGTCTCGAGGCGGGAAGTGGCGGTGACGATGTGGGAGGAGCCGGCTGTGAGGGACGTGTAGATGTAGAGGGCGGGATCGGTTGAGTAGGTCTGCGGTGCTGCCGGCGCCGCCGTGGCCGGGGCGCTGCTTTCGGAGGCCATGATGGGGGTTGTTTGTGGTGGTGTTGTTTTGTTTCGCTACGACACCGAGCAACAAGGGGGGGAAGCTTCTTTGTTGGTTGGGTGATGTTGTTGTTTATAACAGGTATGGGGAGATGATGCAATTAGACCAACTCTCGGTTGTCGCGGCCCCAGGCACAAGGGGGAAGGGGGTTCGATCGGGTCGGGGGGTGTCGTGTTGATCGAAGGGCTCCTGAGCTGCTGCGGGGTACACGCGAAAGTGGAGGAGGGGTAAGATGACGGTCTGTCGTCAACGTCAACGAAACTGCCCGTATAAAGACTCTCAACTGATGAGGGTTGTTTCCTTTGGGTTGCAAAGGTGAACCCACTTAAAGAAGAGAAATGTCAAAGAATGAAGAGCTCAAACACCCCAGAGTTGTCACAACAGATGGGATGAAACGAGGGGTCCAACGGAAACCCCGCGATAGGACGGCATGCCTCACTCGGGGTCTCGGGCCACATCGAGATTGATTGTTTCCTTTGGCTGCCGTTTGCATCTCATGGGCCATCGCGAAAACCTCTGGATGATCTCTCAGAACGCTGTTCTTTGATGCAACCGGGACAGAGGAACTCCCACTGGCAAACAAGCCCACAGCTCAGCTTATATCCGAGACCAAGACTGTGGCCTTCTCATCATCAACTGGTCTAATAAGCTCTTGTGATGCTTGTGGGTGACGATGGCTGCATAGCGGGTAGTTAGTCCATCCCAAGACAACGAATTGCCGCAGGGCCTCAAAGAAGCTGAATGCCTCGACAGATTCAGCTGCATGCCGGCCCTTGCCAGAACCGGCCTTTCTCTGGTGATGATGGAGCTATATAGATTGTCAGTGTGGATGTGAGTGGTGAGATGGAGTGGGAGACATCTGACAAAGTCTACATGCCATCTCCAGTCGATTTCTTCTCGAATTTCACAATGTGTTTGATCGGCCTCTTGATTCCTGTACTCGGCCCTAGAAAGAGATCACCAAAGCACAAGCGCAAGCCCGAAAGAAGACAGCATCAAATATATGACGATCTCGAAAAGTCATCACCGCCATATCAAGACACCAACGTGTACAGAGACCTAGCTCCAGCGGCTGACCACACCGAGCCACGAGTATATGCAACACTCGAAGAAGACTTTCTGGCATGTGAGCAAATCCGACACAAGGAACGTGTACGACTGCTTGGTGAAATCGAAAGGGAGATGGACAGGCTGGAGAGAGAATATGACCGGCGACAGCTATTCGAACCTAGTCTTCTTCCACTTGCAAATTCCTCTACGACAGCAGAACAAAAAGTGCTGGTTGAACAAGACAGGCGGGTGACCAGCAACGATGCCTCGTACTACCAGGACACTCCCACCTGCCACTGCTATGTCTGTCACAACCTTCGCCGATACAGCAGACAAGAGCCAACAGCATCTGAGTCTGGACGTCATTTGACCGGCGGGGTGGAGGCAAAGCCCGGAGGCCGGAACCGGACCATCGGATGCGGAGGGTTCGTGGATCTTCCCGGCCTCGAGAGCAGCCTTCTTCCCTGACAGCTGGAGTTCGGATGGGATAAAGTTCGGGTGGTTCTTTGTTGTGCTCCGGCTGGTTGTCGGGGAAGGGATTCCCGCTGTGTATCAGGAAGCCCTTGCTACGGATTTCTTGGGACGGGCTCAGAGTCAGGGTCTGGCTGGCTGGATTCGGGAGAAATTGGAAAGGCATTTCAGCTTATAACCCCTCATGATAGCTTCGTTTCTGCTCATTGTTATCAACAAGACCCATGTCATCTCCTTCCTGATTCTGGAGTCTTGACCCCAGATCTCGGTGGACCAGCATTTTAAACGGAGATTGAAAGGGGGGGTTCTTGAGCAAGTGGTTGCCCGTGGGCCCGTGGGTGTCCCCTGTTGGAGTTCCACCAGCGAAATAACCTTCTGCCAAGACCCATCGCGGCTCGAACTCCCCATTTCCCATCTTCAATCAAGCCACTTAATTTGACGCTGGGTTTCAGGCCCATGACGTTGAGGTCTTTTCTGCGTCTTTTCCATGCGGGGAACCCGACTCAAGAAGATTCTCGACTGCATGTCGTGATTCTGGAAGCGGTGGTGAGATGAAGACGATGCGGGAATCCGTTTATACGACAGCAACAAACTCCAATAAAGCATGCTGTGCGCGCCCGCAATCTGCCCTGGTGGTCGCACAACTGCCGGTGAGAATGGTGATCAGCTAACGGCCAGCGACCAGCCGAAAGGCCTGTTGGGCGTCTTCTATTTATTATTCGGCGTTTCTCTCGGCTGCCTGTGGCGGTGTCGACGCCCTCTCATGCTCTCGGAATAGTATGGCGCAACATCTCGATACGAGTGATGTCAGGCTGACAGACTGTGAGCAATATTGTAAAAATATTGTAAAAATATTGTAAAAATCTTGTAAAAATATTGTAAAAATATTGTAAAAATATAAAAACCAAAAAAAAATCTGCAGTTTTCCTGCATGTTGAAAGCGACGTGGCAAGACGTGGAGAAAGGGAATCATGATCTGAGTGAGTTGTTGATCGTCGGGCCAAGCCGTCGACCGTTCTCTTGGGCAGGGAATGGTAACGCTGCCAAGCGGGAGGTCCACCTCGTCCAAACTGGTTGGCTGCCGTTGAACTCCCCCTGTCTGTTCCTGCATATGGGATGGCACCCAGCCAATGACATCCCCCCGCTTGGGCTCTGCAAGGTACGCGGCAACCCGTCCGACCAGGTGTGGCAATCACAAAGGCCGCCCCCCCCAAGTCGGTAGCCCCCAGAAATCTCTGCGACACTTCGGGGGGCACGGGGGGTCTCTAAAAGGGAGCAATCCCACGCCGTTCCATGCTCCGCGTCCCCCTTCCCCTTCTGTTTCCTCTCACCAGCCATCCCAGCTAGCCATCACGCTCTTTTCTGCTTTGCCATTCGGCATCAGCCTTACACTCTTTTTAAAACACTTTTAACATCATCATTCGGCTTCCTGGCTCGACTTATTCTTCACCCAACCAAATACAAGTTTACAACTTTGACACGCGTCACTTTTACAAACACCCAACCAAATATTCAAAATGCAGTTCAAGAGCTTCTTCACCGTCCTGGCCGCCGGCCTCACCATGATGGTCGCCGCCGAGGAGGACATCACCACCACCGAGACCTCGACCCTCACCCAGACGCAAACCGTCACCATCACGCAGTGCAACCCAACCATCTCCAACTGCCCCGGCCACACCACCACCTCTGTCGAGACCTCCACCTCCACCCTCACCACCTGGACCTTCCCCCTCTCCAACTCCACCATCTCGGTCGGTCCCACCGCCACCTCCAAGTTCAGCATCATCACCTCCCGCCCGGTCGTCACCGAGACCTCCATCGTTGAGGTGCCCGAGGAGCCAACAGGCACCACCCCCGCTCCGGCCGAGTCCAGCGTCGTCGAGGGCGCCGCCGCCGGCCTCGCCGCCTCGCACGCTACCGTCCTCCTCGGTGTTCTCGGTGCCGGTATTGCTCTCCTCGCTTAAAGAAGCAAGACATTGTTTACATCTTGTCTTTTTTCTTTTGAAGCGTTCATGATTTTCTAGAGCCATATACCCACCCAAATATACCACCGATATTTTTTTTTAAAAAAAAAACAAACAAACAAACAAACCACACCTTCGTTGATTTGCTTCTTGTTTGCTATTTACAACTTTGCTTCTATTCCCAACATATTTGTCAAATCTTCCACGGGGAAAGGGAAAGTTTGGAGAAATTTCACACTGGCGGATTTATTAAGATTTAACTTGGAGGGAGAAAGACTTCTTTTCTATGTGCTTGCTTGCTTGTTTTTTTTTTGATGAGATACCCTAAAGGGAATAGGGGAAAGGGGGAGGAGGCTACTGGTTGGCGAAGGGGTTGTTGTTTATTTGATGGTCGTCAAGTCAGAGAGTGAGGGAGGGAGGGAGGAAGGGGGGGAGTCAAAACGGGATTATTTTTATTCACAAAACATTTTACCTACTTGCTTTTGTATTTTGTGCATGCATCTGCACGTATACAAGAGATTACGACTATGAAATGAGACAAAAAACTGATAAAAACCCCTAACTTTTTTGGGCTTTTCCCGTGTTTGGGTGTCTGGTGCAGAAGATGATGTTGTGTTTGATTCGTTGTGGGTGGTAGTTTTGGAGTTGTTACATAGGTTTAATTAGGGTTTCCCTAGGAGATGGAAACACTACATAGGACTAGAAATTAGTTTCCGGTTGTGTTCGAGGCGCGGCGTGTGTGTCAACGGTTCAAGGCCTTGTTTGTGCTCATTCATGTAGTCTCGTCGTCTTTGGTGACTACAACAACTCAAGTCGAAACAAAACATCAAGCACGCTGTTATATTTTCTGTCTCTTAGGCATCTCGTTGGAACACTCTCCGTTACATCTCGATCCCCAATCCTGTACTTTATAGTATATGATTCTCATAGTCGTGACTGCCTGCCGTCTTGGGCTACCTCTTTATACTTGAAGAAACCGAGTCACCACCAGTCATCATCATCGTCTGATGAGTCAGAGATATCCCCATCAGTGCTGCTCCCGGTCACCCCATCACGGCACCGCAATCACTCTCCTCGCAGTACTGGCACGCGGTTTCGGGTTTCTCGACGTGGTTGTTGCAGTTGCATGCTGGTTTGTGGTGATGACGGCAGGGATAGGAATGGGTATTCATTGCTTTTGTTTTTCAAGCAGGTGGCAGATGGGTAGCGGCCAGGTTCCAGGTATGATCGAGGGACTTGAAAGACTTTTGAACTGCTGTGTAGGAGCGCTTGTGTAAGTTGAAGACTTTGAGGTCTATAAAGACATTTCGGCGGCCTTTCATTGTTGATAAACATATGGACCACTCGTCACAGGTGCCAGGAGCAGCTCATGTCTATAGGCACTTCTAAAGAGCAACAACTCAAGGAAAGAAAGAGTTATCAAAGGACAATAAGTTGATTCTCAAATCGAAATTCCCAGTTCCAAGATATCCCTCTATAGCCTTGAGCACCAAAGTCTCTCGCCAATGACCTTCCACCTACACGCCGCTCCTGTATGCTGACAAAACGACAAATGCTCCAGATAGACAACATGGCTGCTTTTAGAACGAGACACTCTGTTGAACATCCCCCAAATGTCCCCGAAACGGTGGCCCAACTGACCCATTCTTCAAGACCTGTTCAGACTCCTGAAATTGCCTCAAGTCTGCTGGCCATCGACGAATCCGCAGTGTCCATCCTGACAATGGTCGCAAAGTGCGATACCGGCAGTGACCATGGCGGTGCACCCATGTTTAGTCTTGTGGTCGCACCATTTATTGGACATGCTGGGAGCTTGGTACTGCGGGACTGCCGGACACGATAATTAGCTGGCTGAAGCAGCTCCAGAGTCTGAAGACGGCTTTGTGGTACCTTTGATGTTGAGTCGTGGTTTTGACAAGGGTGAAGATGGAGACAGGGTTGTTTTTAAGCACGGGTGATGAAGGGCTCCGATTTTATAGATCTTAAACTTGGCTGGCAACACTGGCTACAGAACTCTTCATATTCTTGAAGAGAACACCCATCTTATACCCCGATTCCCTCCGTGCCGCCGGGCTAAGAAGCTTGCCTCCTCGGTCAACCGCACCCGTTTCCCAACCATTCAAACCCCCTATATCACTTGCCACCAACTGAGAAAAAGAGGTAGGAAAATCAGAATTTGCTGATAACAAGGCGGGCGAGGCAAGGAAAAAGCTGACGATCCGGATCACGCCCATGGCTCTCTCTGTGTGTGTACAAAAGCAAACACGGGGTTACTTGGGTCATCCAGCACCCGGTATCGTGACGTTGACTGGACCATCATGGTACACAAGTCACCCAGACAACACCCCTTCGACGGATAGCAACACGAGAACACCCTACCTCGGCTGAGTCAGTTCTCGCAACAGCTTGGGATCTTGAAGCACGCTACATATCAGCATCCTGACATCCCCGGTAGGGCCATGCGTGGGATCCTTTTGGTTCTGGAAGACGGTCAACCCGTCGGGTTCCAGCACGTCCATCTACGGATCTCTCGGGCTAATATGCTCGACTTGTCAGCCAGGGTATGCCAAGGCGAGATGGCGAGCTTCGATATCGGACTCCTGCAGCAGAGCTGGGGAAGGCTTGCAGACGAATGACGATAGATCGATGATTTGCTTCAGGGGCTGGGGCGTGGTGCGCCTGGATGGATATGATATCAAATGCTTGTCTGCCGGGCATCGGTGAGAACTGTGATTTATGAAGTCATTTTGACTATTCGTCCGTGTGCCACCGACCGAGTCCTTGACAGGGCATAGCTGAGGCGATATTTTGAAGTTCTAATGAAAGGATGATTCGTTGGTGCCGCCGCAGTTTTTGAAGCATCGATTATCTTGTCCAAGGCCTCTCTGCCTTCAAGTCCAGCGATAAGCCCCACATTCCTTATCGCACTGGGGTCCGAGCTGGGGTGCCCCTCCACTGACTGCTACGCTTCCTGGACCTCTCTCCAAGCTCTCTCGACAGCTCCCTTCTCCCGTCAACATTTGTCTGAAGGCTTGCTGTTGATATATATGTCAGTTTGCAGTCAACGACTCCCCTCACACAGCCGAGGAATATCGCTCAAGCTAGTGCTGGTATTCGCTTGGACGCGTTGGCAGGTGCCAGGCACATGACGACAGAGCATCACCCGCCTCCTTCATCATCGCGAATGGGAGTTGACTGAGATAAGCCGACCGATCCTCCCCGAGGCTCCAGATTTGCCCCTCGTACGATCCTAAAATCTGCCTTTTAGCATCGTGGCGTTATACTTTTGTTTCTTATTGCTCCAAACTCACAGGCATTCTTACTTTTATTTCTTGACCTTGATGAGCAGCCTAGCTGGTGAACTTGTAAACCCCAAATCCACTTCGACGCGGTAACTCTCTCGAACAGACGTCAGCCTATCGCCAGACACGAGAGCGAAAGCACCGCGAGTCAAGACTATAACGTCGAGCGAAGTGGGATACAGAAAGTGGACGCGACAAACCCCCAAATTTATTCGTACAATCGACACTGGTTATTCTTCGCATGTGCTGCTGAGCAGCAGGAATGGCTACACGAGACTACGGCTCGGCCCACGCCCCCATCGAGCTCAGCAGCGATTCTGATTCCGACGGAGGTTCGTCCGTGAGTGGCAGCGACTACATAGAAAGACAGGACCAAGGGAGACAGGCTCACACTGCCGTGTGCGAGTGGCGGACAGCAAGATTCCACGATCGGGAATGCTCACGCTACTGGGATTGTCCGTCGCATGCTGTTGAGCGCGCGCTCTCTGAACATCGTCAGGAAGAGGCACAGGGGCGAGGCGGAGATCACGATATGGATGACGGCGAAGAGAGACCTGATCCTGGGGCTGTCTCGCCTTTGAGTGAGGATGATGAGCCTGACCGTGGAGCTGAGGGTAACACAAGGCCGAGGTCTCCGTCTCCAGAGGTGCCAGCATCCGAGGCTCTGCCGGCTGCCAGAAACTTGAGAACTGAAGTGCCCAACGATTCCGGATATTCGAATGAACAACGCACAGCATCTGGGGCGAGTGCAGAAAATCCAATCATTGTGGTTAGCAGTCCTGCGGCTGCCTTCCGGAGACAACCCAGGTTCTCAGAGTCAGCGCCAGGGCCGTCAAGGACAGAACCAAGGCGGACAAGAGACGGTTACACTAGCGTATTCCAGGAACAGGATGCGAGTTCAGGTCCCTCCGGTGCTGCCACCCCGAGGCACCAACCCCTTCTGCCTTCTCGTGGGGATCCTAGCGGCGAGTTGATACTGCCAAGATGGCAGCCAGACGCTGAAGTGACCTACTGCCCTATATGCAACGCTCAGTTCAGCATATTTGTTAGAAAACATCATTGCCGGTATGTACTGCTGGTCTGAGCCATGTGGAAACCAAAAGCTGACAGGATCATAGCAAGTGTGGGCGTGTTGTTTGCGCTTCATGCTCCCCGCACCGCATCACGATACCCTACCAGTATATTGTTCAACCTCCTGGCGCTCCCCGTGTATTCCCGCAAGGAGCCGCGATGCCGCCTTCGGACCGCGACGGATGGTATCCAAGTCTGAGTGGTGGTGAAAGAGTGAGACTGTGCAATCCGTGTGTGCTAGACCCTAACACTACTCTACCGCAAGCCTTGGGAGCGGACAACGGAAATGCAGACACAGCAGAAGGCGCCAGCCCTGGTTCGAACCGGTGGAGCTTCTACTTTGGCGGCGCTCAGCCTGCACCTACAAGCACCGCTCACGCTAGAAGCAGGAGCGTCACGATGGTAGGTAGCATGGCTAACGCCTTGATCACTTGTCTGCCCCTCTCCTCGCCCGTTGCTGAACACGAACAACAGCCGCAGCAGCCAGGTGCGCCATCATCCTCACGTCCGCAGAACCTCGCCTACTCGCAAGACACACTGAACCGGATTCTCTCTGGCACCCCGCCGGTCTACTTTCCTGCCGCCAGCGGATCAAGTTCCCGTCGTCATCGACCATATCCGGGACCGCAGCGCTACCAGTCTATGCTGAACATGGAGGGATCATCTTCTACCGTCATGGCTGGCCCGTCAGACCACCATCCGCACAGCTCAAGACAGCTCCCTGCCGCCCCTCAAATTGCCGAAGAAGACGAATGCCCTGTTTGCCACCGTGAACTACCGCCTCGAACTCTCCCCAACTATGAAGCCGTGCGGGAGGCCCACATCAACATGTGCATCACCTCGCACAGCGCATACGGCGGGACAAGCAGTGCTTCGCCAGGAGAGAACCCGTTACCGCCACCGCCGCCTAGAAGGACGGGGATGTTTCCGTACACGGCCACAGAGAAGGACTGCGTGGACTCGGCTGAGTGTTCCATCTGTCTAGAAGAGTTTGAAGTGGGTGTTGCGATGGCGAGGCTGGAGTGCTTGTGCCGGTTCCACAGGGCGTGCATTGGGGCTTGGTGGGAGAGGCACCCGGGACGGTGTCCGATGCATTCGCACGATGGTTTTGGGTATTAATGGTTTTTTTTCTCTCCTTTTGTTTCCGGTTTGCATCTGCGTCGTCGTTGACTAGGTTTGGTGTGTTGGCATTTTTGAAGAAGTTTTGGGAAGGCGTTTTTAGTTTCTCAGATACCATTCACTGCTGCCCATGTGTTTTTTCTTGAGAGGGTTATAGATGACTTTGATGTTGTGAATCAGCGATCATAGTAGTTTAACAAGCGAAGATTGTGTGTGTGCGTGTGTGTGTGTATGTTGACCAAATAGTTTATTTGCTGCTGTCTTGTAAATCCATACAATAATACCTCTAAGAATCCCCCCTCCGCCCCAAATCCTCCTTCCCCAACGCCTCCGGCCCAAAGCTCAGGGGGAGTAGTTCCTTTAGTCTGAGGACCGCGTACCCGTTCTCACCGTCGAACATGATGATTGGGATTTCTACGGAGCAAAACTCGCGGATGGCCTGTCGGCACATGCCGCAGGGGGAGGCTGGGGGGGAGATGTCTGTTGCTACTGCTATGGCTTTGAACTTTAGGGTTTTGGAGGCCCAGGAGATGGAGTTGGGGGGGTGGACGGTGGTGACGGCTTTGCAAAAGGGCGGTGCGCACTGCGCAGGGTGTGACATG